TGGACAGACTGCTTCTGTAAATACAGTACAGGGTTTTCCTTGTGCACAGAAAGAGCTTCCACTGGCTACATCATCCATTCTCCGAAGATATACGTGATAATAATCATTTGTGAACGTTACTCATCACTCAATGTTTTGAGATTATGTAAGACTATTTAAACAAGTCACATAACTTATTTATATTCTCTTACCAATATGTAATTCCATATGTTTTGTTGGCAACTGATATTAATAACTAACCTTTACTGGCATTTGTATGACCTTTTAGAACACTACTTAGCTGTATAGCTTTGATAAAAAGTTGCGAAAAGAATATTCTCCGCTAATTGATTTCTTTTTAATTTATATTACATGGATATTTTTTATACCTCGATTCTTTTATGTGATTGTTTAACATGAAGTTAGTTTCATTAGGTAGGAGGGAGCAATAGGAATAAACCTCTTAGTTATTACTTGGTGGATGGTGACTTGCGGCAGAATCCAGGATGCACATTTTGTTTTATTCGGGACTCATTGACTGGATGTACTTGTGATTCCCAATGAGTGATATTATTCCCACTGAGACTCACACCCAGCAATAGTCAGCCCAAAAAGCACAAAATGAACACCTGAGATTTCACTGATAGTCACCACCATTAAAGTAACGTTATGGCAATCCTCTGATATTGTCGAAGCGTCCATAACGGGAGTCAATATATCAACAGATAGGGGACATTTCGATCCAATACAATAATTTAACGGGAAATATAAATTTAAATTAATTAAATATGGTTTTTCAATTTGTTCATGTCGTATGAAGGTGTGCTTAACTAATCATTTAAAGGTATCTTTAAAGGTATTCGTCAAAGCTGGTACTCAGATGAGTAAATCATGATAGTTTTGCTTTCAGAGTTTCTTTCTTCATTCCATTCCAATATGATACATTAACTTCCTTCTAGTAGACCTTCATCAACCATTTTCCTTAGATTAGTTACTGTCAATGAACAAAAAATCCCTATACTGAGTCCTTGTTAGAAAAATTAACAGCGAACACACTTCTATTTTCAACGAATCATTTTTATAAGCTGTACAGTTGTACTGGCATTCAACGGATAACACATATAAAAACAATTAAATACACGCAGTTGTGTTCTAGAAAATGTTTTATGCCACATGAGGAATGATTGGGGTGGGAATGTACAAGTGAAGATTAAGAAGCGGAAGTTGGTATCAGAAAACAAGCGTAAAAAAACCACCTGATCAATCTGAATGTATGAAATGGGCAAAGGAGACTGCAAATGCAGTGAACCATTTAAATGAAATCTTTATAAGAAGTGTCAAGTTATTTTATTTTTTTATTTTTGATTACAGCTTGATTCCACACCGTATTTTCGGTACAAGTATGGAATTTTCAGCATGGATATCGGTAGCCCAAATTTTGTAGGCCAACCATAGATATCAGGTGTGCGTCGGCAGGGGATCGAACCCCGGACCATTTGAATGGTCTGCGAGAGCCCTAACCACTGTCCCACCGACGCAAAAGTAGTAGTAGTAATAATAATAATAAAATAGTAGTTTTATTTCAGACAATGTGTTAATACAATGTACAGAAATCCTCAGTGTATTCAGTTGCAAAATATTACCTCTTTTTACCGGATCTATAAGTAAAACAATAATTTGCAGTATATAACATTGATGCAGTGTTGTTTACTTATAAACGAAGATGGATTTCCCCAAAATTTTTATATTCAGCTGATTAAAAATGTTCTCGAGTTCATCTAGTAAACACTGGATACTATAATTTGACTAAAACAACAAGAAATACAGAATAAAACTTGTGCACTGTGGTAGAGTATAACTCCATTATGGGTAAAATTTATTTTGATAAAGTCTCACAGAGTTTACTGATGACGTAGATGCCTTATAAGGCATCTACTGTTATACCATATAAGAAGGGAACATCTGAGACCCTACGTAGGATTCTTAATAAAGCAGGAATTAGGGTGGCATTCAAAAGTACAAACTCAATCAAGGACAAGCTCTGTAGATTAAAAGACCCTATCGGTTGACCCAATTAGACAAAATAATATAATTTACAAAACACCCTGAAATGGCTGTCAGTGAGGTCAACTACATAGGTCAGAATAGTAGGTGGGGGTGGTCAGATTGTCGGAACATAAGAATTTAGCTAAGGTAAGAATGACTGATCCCTCGAAGATAAGTAATTAGAAAAAAGCCCAGCAATTGCACTGCATGCATTAACACACAACCACACAATAGGGTGGGAGAGGGTTAAGGTTCTAAAAAGTAATCTAAGTAGGTGGAGAGAGAGAGAGGTTAATTATTGAATCCTTGTCCATCGAGTCTACACCCAACACATGAAACAGAAATGACTCATCACTCACACAGGAAATATGTAAAACACTACTACGAATCAAGTCAAGCGATGAAAAATAATGGAATTATATAAACGAAGCTAGAAATTTGTGTGAATACCTTGATATGATTATGAGCAGTAATAAATTGTGCTCGAAACGTTATCAGTAAATATAACTGTATAACACCGTGAGACTTTATCAAAATCAATTTTACCCATAATAGAAGAAATGCAGACGAATTCAGGCATTATTATGGAAGGAAATTTTGGTAACCCAGTGATTTAAGTAGACCGCCTTTTAATTATAATACGCCAAACATCAAACAGTGAAATAAAGTAAAATTACGTTGATAATGTTATCCTGGCTATAGTAAGCCAAGTAAGTGTATATATATTGCTTTTAAACACAGAGGTTGGGTTTAAAGTCTCAAAACACTACTGGGTATTTAGAACCTGCCGTCTGTTAATCTTCATTTGTGCATTTTCACCTATATTATTCCCAAAGGTGCATAAAACATTTTCTACAACATAATTATCAGTATTTGACTTATTTTTTTTCATTTCCGCGTTGACTTTACAACTTTTTGAAATGATTTTTTGAAAAGAAAATTCCCTTTACTGTTATGTCGTTTTTTTTAAGTTGCTCTAAGAGCACACTGTTCATGAAGAAGTATTATATTCATCAAGTGATCTACCTAACATCAATTTATGCGAATTTTGACTGAATGAAGTCTGTCCTACCTTCTTTGATTTGATAAAAATAGACAGATTTATAGGTATCATGTGCTTCTCTCTCTCTCCGTCTGTCCCACCGATTGTATTTAGAAAACGCTTAGTGCATTCATTTAGACACACAGTATACTTTTTAAGTGATAAAAGCATGTGATTCCTAGTCTGGTCAATTAGTCACCCTTAAGAGCCTTAACTCTGACTTACTATACAGCTTTAATGTCAATAAATGAGATTTTCAAGTATTGGTTTTGTAGGGATTTTGCTTGATTGCAAAGGGGATTTCACCATGAGCTGACATCAGTTGGAGAACCACTGGAAAACCTGGGAGTACTGGACAGCTCTTTTGTCCTAGTTTGAGACTCTTCAGCGGCACGCACCCACAGGGATTCGAACCCAGGACCTTCTAGTTGCAAGGGTAGCTCGTAGACCGTTGAGCCACTGGGACTCGATGGGGACCCAAACCCCGGTGGATGCGTACCGTTAAAGAGTCTCAAACTAGAACAAAACAGCTATCCAGTACTCCCAGGTTTTCCAGTGGTTCTCTAACTGATGTCAGCTCATGGTGAAATCATCCAACCAATCAAACAAAATCCCTACAAAACCAATACTTGAAAATTAATCTGATACTGACTAGTGACTGGCCCTATTCAGGTAGTTAACCTGGGGTTTTAGTGGGAAGCTGTGATTAACAGGGTACAGCAGGTTGAAGATGAGGCAGTAACTCATCGAAGAAGACATTTTGAAGCGGTCGCTCTATGTTGTGAATTGGCAGAAGTTAGGATTCAAGGCCCATTGGATCGGGTTCCAGTGGCTCAATGGTCTACGGGCTCCCCTTGTAACCAGAAGGTCCTGGGTTTGAACCCCGGTGGGTGCGTACTGATGAAGAGTCCAAAACTAGGACTAAATAGCTATCTAGTACTCCCAGGTTTTCCAGTGGTTCTCTAACTGATGTCAGCTGATGGTGAGATCCCCTAATAAGTGAGGTCTCAGTTGTTTAAGTACATTTGGTTGGTGTTGAAACCATCTTTTCATCAGAGAAACAAGGAACTGTATTAACTAACTAGCCGAGAACATATCGCCTTAAAAATATGCCAAAGAAAATAGAAATAGATTTGACACATTGTGAGGAAACCGCTGATTTGAAATTTGAGTTGAACTCATTCAACACTAAAGTGAGAACACTGTTGTTCAGACAGTAGTACAAAAACTATTCAGTAGATTATAAACCTATCAAGATATATTCATTTTATTTATTAAACTGTGAACAATCAACTGAAATTATTATTCATCCCACTAACTTCTGGGCTTAATCATGGGGGCTTGTCTTTTACTTCTGTTCCTTTCAAAGTGAAGAGGTGTATTGAAAGTCATCAAGATGGAAACAGAAGTTGAACGCATTCCGAAGACTTCAAAACTCAAACCCTTTTTCTTTGTAAACAAAAATCTAAGCCGTAAATATTATATATTATCTTATAAGTTGCCATGGGGAGCTCAGTGTTAAATAGGTTCTGTCAGTGTTGTACTTGAAATTCCGTCCTAGAAAGTGGTAACCACCTTTTCATTTCCTGAATTCATAAAACCATGATTTCTAAACACTACATTTGTAAGGGGGGGGGATAAGAGAAATTACACTTATACATTTTTAGCCACATTAAAGCTGGTCTACATCAAAGGACAATAAACTGTTCTGTGTGGTTAAACATCTTGTTCAATGAGATTATTTTGTAAGGCAAGACACAGATGCCAAAGCATATTTTTCATTGATCAAACCGCTGTTTACATATGTGCAGTTTATACTATTTAGCCAATCACTGAGCTTGTGATTTCGGTTCACATCAAATCACATGAAATAGAATGTTCATATAGATATACCGTATTCTGTTTCTAATGCTGAATTGAACTGTGGGAATATGTGAGAATAATATTCTGTTGGCACACATTGTCTGTATCACTCCACCACAATATCATACCCACAACGTAAATTAAGACCAAATATGAGGAATAAACACTTCTATGTCTGCAGTCATTGTCCTAAAATGTCGATTTCAATGTTGACCGTATCTTATCAATCTGTATCACACCATGCATTCAATATGATGCATCTTATTTAATTATTAAGACAACATTTTGATAGTATAGTAGAAAAGGTATGAAACCTCTTACATTATCTCTTGGTACGTAAGATAATAACAACAAGTTGACAGTCTCTTCAGACAAAATGTCACCTGATTTACTCTTTGAGGATGTTCACAATTAATGATCAATCACTTTATCGTTGGATCACATAGTCCTACTGATCTATACTAGAGACGATTTCACAAATAGAATTGAATTAAACGTGTTTGCTCAGTTTATAATCCCGTGAGAACAAAGTAGCAATAGTACTAATGTTAGTAAAACTAGGCTTCAAATTAGTTCATTAATACCCGCTGTCACTAGTACTCTTCAGGTGACGTTGTTATCAGATAACTTTTGTTGACATTCACCAATTCAACTTACTGATAATAGTAGAGACAGTAATTCCCACAGTTTAACCATAGCAACAACCAACTGGTCTTCAGAATGGACAACCATTAGAATGCAGGTTTTCACATGAACAGGTTGGGTGAGTCAGAATTTTGGTTTGTAAACATTTTGATGTGTTACGCTGTGTCACTAGAAGGGAGGAAAATTACTCTGTAGCTTAGTGAACAACCGAGTGTGAACATTAATTAGGGTACCCATTTTTCCATAGCACATCATGAAGTTTGAAAGGTGAATAGTCATTTGGTGAAAACAAAACACCTAGCTCTGTCGAACTAAGCATCGTCTACAGACCACCTGACACTAAAATGGTTATCAAAGAATGAAAATCATATACTTTAATCTTAGAATGACACCAAGGCAAATGCTATAAATTAGGTCATCCAAGATGAAAACATTCCATTTCTTTAGTTCAAGTTACCGTCATCTTATTTGCATTTCAAAGTAGAAAATGAGACGAGGGAGAAAACACAAAACATGAAAAATAGTAGTCACTTTGAAGGTATCATAACAACTCAAAAATGTTATTGGTCGTGGGATTAAAATCATCTCATCTGAAATCACTCTTACGGATGATCATGCAATCGATATAATCAGAATTAAAATTGAGTTATCAAAGATGTGAAAAATTGGTCATACTCTGTTTTGGTTAAAACATTTGACTGAAATCACTTCATCAAATCATGGTGAATTCAGAGTCCTTTGCGTGTTTAAGTTTTCAAGAATTTAGAGATCTAGACAATGGATCCGATAACTGCACTTTGTGAATATCTATTTCCCTTTAGGCACACATTTCTTGGAAAGTAACCTCCTTTTTGCCCTTTCAGTACAGCACTGTCACAAGTGCATGTAAATTCATTAACGCAACTGGAGGCGACATCAGTTTAGACTGACTCGTTGAGTATTTTAGGCTGTACAACGATACAACCTTAGCTAAAGGGAAATATCTTTTAACCATTTCTTTTATTCTTCCGTCAGTTCTTTGAGATACTGCTTCTTCTTTGAATGGAAGGCATTTTCCCCAACTAGTTGATTTCCGTCTATCTGTATATGACCGGAAATTGTGGATATAAGTCAATCCAGGTGCGTCGGTGGCACAGTGGTTAGGACTCTAGCCGATCATGCACATGGTCCGGGGTTCGATTCCCTGCCGACGCACACCTGATATCTATGGTTAGCCTGCAAAATTTGGGCTACCGATATCCATGCTGAAAATTCCATACTTGTACCAAAAATACGGTGTGGAATTAAGCTGTAATCAAAAAATATAATAAAAAATCTATAGTACATTAAAATCGAAGCATGTCTTTCCGGATAACCGATGACTGACAGCTTAGTCAGTCACCATTCGTTGCAGAAAAATGCCCTCTAGGTAGGCAATTTAAGCGTTCAGGACACAGTTTTACTATGTTATTCTGTCCGTTTTATTTACAGATCTGATTTCAATGGGTCAAGGAACAATATTCTATCATCTACATTCTGGAAATTATACAAATCTCTTAGAACATCCTCAATTGAACAGTATCTTTGTTATTGGAAACGGGTGAGATACTAAAGAGTTTGTAATGACATAACAAAACTTACTATTTTCTATGAGTAATACATTTTTATTGAAAATATTGTTTCAATTAATAAACTATGCATATGATTAATTAATGGAGTGCATTACTACATGGCAACACTATCATACTTCATTCTGAAAACGGAACATTTGATATTTACCCCACAGTTGTCTTTATGTAAGTCTTCAGGATTAAAATATGTAGCATCCTCTCATCCATAAACATAAACTGACCACCTATGAATGTGATATTCATTCATCCATGATAGTTCACAGGGAGATCTCCGGAAGTCAATTCAACTGAAAGAAAATATGAAGATCATAGACTGAAGAAACACGAACATTGCCGGGGAATTTCTAGAAACCTAGAACAGCAAGACCGAAAATTAGAACTAACACTTCCTGACATGGGTTTGCAAATAACTGTTCATTGTTAGTTCTAATAAACTAAAAATCCAATTGTACAGAATCAGCATATTTGCAAAGTACGCCATGATTTAAACAGATAACCAGTATTATCACCTCGATACAAAACTACCTACTTATTTTTGATTTATGATGTTTTAATATAAATCTATTACTTACATATATATGAAAGTGCAGACAATAATCTTAATGATCTTACTTCGGTGATCAGTCAGTCCTTTGGAAATAGTAAAATTTGTAAAACAACAAATCCACAGAATTGTAGAGGACTTTATAGCGGGCTCGGTAACAGAACAAATATTAGAATAAAAATCCAAGTTAATGAAATAAAGGTGTACTCGTATATGATAAAAAAACACAGTTAATGAGTGTTATGTACTCGTCGCTAAATTATTGTTATGGACTGGTCGAGAAACTAATAGTCCTGACGCGAGAAGGCGGAAATCAGAAGACCACTAGGGTTGCGATGATACTTCTATTGTCCAAACACAAGGAGACGAAAATAAATGGTCTCACACCAAAGTGGTAAGTAAGTCAAGTAGTTGTAAAGTAAAGTAGTTCACACAAATTGAGAATGCGAATATATATAAATAATTCAGACAAGCGTGGGAAAAATCATTAGACAGTCTTAACATGAATGGCTAATTATAATGGAGTGTCGATCCAATTATACATAGCGAATATAGCAGACATGCCAACAAACATATATGGATATATGTCACCAAGCAACGGACTGTCAACAAACACTCATATTATATATAATATAATATGGAACATACATTGTTAAAGGAGACAAGTTCATACAAGTGAAGTGGTCACAGACTAACCGAGCAAACAGAAAGAGAGACCAACATACACACACACATAAATATATATATGTGGATACATATCAATGAGTTATATAAATGAATGGTTAATTGGTGATACAGTTAAAGATCGCTGCTACAAATTATTAATATAATCCACAATAGTGTTCACTGCTGACGTCGTGTCTACTAGAAGAAGCTGTGCGTCGGTTGTAGAATAGTGTCCGGATAAGGATGGGAGGTTCCCACAAAATCCAAAGTACACAACACGGTTAGTAGTGAAGCAAGTAGACAGTACAGACCAGTGAGAAGACGAAGCGTTGAGCAGCACATTGTATTTTGGATTGTACTCCAAAATTATAAACATATATATATATATACGTATATATTTAAAAGTCAATCTGAACGAAGAATATTCTTTTCAATAATTTCTCCTCTTCAGGTTCTTACACTCATAAAATATAATATTTGTGGTCGTTACAATAATGGCCAGTTATGTGGTGGATACATTTTTTCTATGTAGAACAAGGGATTAGTTATGGGGTATCAAAATAAATAGACGTGTTTGTGTGACAAACGTTCTTGGCTGAAATCGATTACAAAATATTGTCAAATGGGAGACAATGATGGTGATTAGTCATAATAGATTTGTAGAATGAGGGGTAGGAAAACTGACAAGTCAGATCAAGGTTATAAAAGGTATCAGGTGAGTGGTTTGTACAAAAGTGGTATGTATTAAAGAGGAGATAGTAAGACTATAATGAGAGGTTCAGAATGTGTGAAATGAAACAGGTGGAGGCATATATTGACAATAACAGATTATTTATGGGGTGTCAAAATAAATAGACGTATTTGTGTGACAAACGGGAAGTTCATTAAAGCCAACATAGGTTACAACAGTTGTGAACATGAACTGACAACGGTGGAGAAAAAGCCTCTGATTTTACGTCTCCAATTTAAGGGACATACCCCTGCGGTGATTCTATCACAACGTTTAGCCAGGGCGGTCAAGAATAATTTCTACTCTGAACATCTGTTCCTATCCTTCAGTAGCCGTCCAATGTTCACCCAGAAACTCAAAGATGTCTTACCTAACCTTAGCTCTTCTTCATGCATATACCATTTAAACTGTACCTGTGGTTCAAGTTATATAGGGCCCACGAGTAGTCAGGTTCGTCTACACATTCGAGGACATTCAGCAGGGGGAAATAAAGTGCATAAAAAGCTCGATCCTGTCACACTTTGTCGATACTGGACATTGCATCGACGCCAACACAGCTTTCAGAGTTATACACCGAATTCTGAAGTCATTATCATGTACAGCTGGCTTAAGTCTCCTACACATAGCTGAGTATGTTGCAATAAGATCGATAAAATCAGAACTTTGTATCCAAAATGAACACGTCCGGACGCTGTCCCTACCGTGGCCAAACTTGGATTGATGATTATTCTTCTCACCAGGAGCGCTTCTTCCTCTTAACTCTTTTGTTTTTTTCTTCTTTGCTTATCATTACAATTATTATTATTCGGCATAATTTATACCCTTCATACAAACATTCTCTCAGTACTATCGAATTTTTCATTTATACTATCCAGACTTATCATTAGTGTTATTATCTCTTTTCTCAATATATCCCTCCACCTGTTTCATTTCACACATTCTGAACCTCTCATTATAGTCTTACTATCTCCTCTTTAATACATACCACTTTTGTACTAACCACTCACCGACACCTTTTATAACCTTGATCTGACTTGTCAGTTTTCCTACCCCTCATTCTACAAATCTATTATGACTAATCACCATCATTGTCTCCCATTTGACAATATTTTGTAGTCGACTTCAGCCTAGCACGTTTGTCACACAAATACTACTACTTATTTTGTCACCCCATGACTAATCTGTTATTCTACGTTAAAAAAAGATGTACCCTCGGCATAACTGGCCATTATTATAACGACAATAAATATTATATTTTATGAATGTAAGAACCTGAAGAGGAGAAATTATTGAAAAGAATATGCTTCGTTCAGATTGACTTTTAATTTATGATATGGGAATATTTCATACTATTAAGTCTTATATATTTATCGAGGAACAGTTTTAAAAAAAGTTGTGTACAATGTTTCCATTTTTAACATCTAACAAAAACTGTACCGTAGTATTGTCCCAGACTCCACACAACCATTAATTCCCTCTGTCTGTGATGATTTTTGGATTTCGTCTTCCTTTAGGGAAATCGAAATGATAGTAATGAACAACATACGTATACTTAATTTAATTAAATTAATCTTATAATAGCTTGATTTCACACAATATATTGGTACAGGTTTGGAATTTTCAGCGTGTGTTATCGGTAGCCCAAATTTAGCAGGCCGACCATAGATATCAGGTGTGCATGGGCCGGGTTTGGAACCCAGGACCATGTGGATGATTGGCGAGCGTCCTAACCACTGTGCCACCGACGCAGTCATTATCAATAATTATTGCTATGTGGGTTTTTTTTGACTGCTACCATAATGTTGAAAAATTTATAGACTGTGTCATGCCTTTCTGTAAATTGAGAATTGAAAATTTTCATTTATTTCTATCCTTAGAAATGCAATGTTCCGCTTGAATCCAGATAATCTTCGATTATTAGCCAGTTTTGAATTACCTTCAAAACCAGAAACCTCATTCTGTATGACAAATACAAAAGTAAGTGTACGTCCTTAGTTAAATGATTTTAATTTATCGTTATTATATTAGTGTTTATTAGTAGGCAGAAGAGACGACTTTATGCTTGTTACTCTTGATGCGTTATTCGTTAAGCGATCGCTTTTGCCTTAACCAAAAAGGGATTACTCTTAACAGACAGTAGATGAGAATAAAAACTGGAAAACTTTTCATATCTTTTTGCCTTAACAAGTTCGGACTTCTTATTAAAAGTATAAATAGGCGATAACAGTTTGAAAGAAGTTCAAAATGTGTACTTTAAAATAGCTGAAGTAACGTTTTAATTATGCATCTGATTTTTTGATTCGTCGTTATATTTTGTGTATTACCCTTGACTTAAGTTTAGGCTTTGTTTTTATTTATATCCACACTGATGTAATTTATTGAAAAGAGCTGCTGTTTCCTCAGCTATTGTACACTTTTCATTTTACAATAAGACAATGTAGTGTGTCCAGTCAGATCTGCCTAGGTGTTTACTATGATTAAGCTTATTAGAGTAATTTGTCAGTAAGTTGGCTGTAATCTTAGTAGCAGTGGTAATAATAACAATGACAATGGGAGATAAACAAACAGGTTGGGGTCGTGCTAAATCACCAATTGGTAGATTTTAGAATTCATGAGCCATTGAAAGGTCCCAGTGGCTGAATGGTATACGAGCTTGCCTTGTAACCGGAAGGTCCTGGGTTCGAACCCCACTGTGGTGGGCGCGTACTGATCCCCAAAACTAGGATGAAACAGCTGTCCAGTATTCCTGTGCTGGATTTCAATGGTTCTCCAGCTGGTATCAATCCGTGATCAACTCGTATAAAAAAACTAACCCTTACAAACCAACTATAGAAGAGGTAAGTTTTCACCATTTCTTAATTTTCTATTTTTTTTATAATTTTTTTAAAATTTTTGTTTACAACTTGATTCCACACTGTATTTTTAGTACAAGTATGGAATTTTCAGCATGGATATCGGTAGCCCAAATTTTGCAGGCCGGCCATAGATATCAGGTGTTCGTCGGCAGGGGATCGAACCTCGGACCATGTGCATGGTTGGCGAGAGTCCTAACCACTGTGCCACCGACGCACACACTTATTCGCTTCAAAATAAATCCGGTAAAGTGTTTTATGAACAGACCAAGACAGATTTATTTTACGAATCAGATGAAAAATGATGTGTAAATACATAAACAATTCATTGGTTAAAACGGGAATATCCCTTTGAGAAAGAAATCACTTTACAATAATCTGAAATTTAATGAAGCTGCATCAAGCGAAATTCTATTTCATAGACTAACAAGTACCTACAGGAGAACATTTTGTGCGGGAAATGTTTTTCTATGACTTTCCGATCTCCGAAATGTCAGTATCTCAAATAAAGGATAAACCACGTTGTTTTCCTCACTGACATGTATTCAACAGCCCGACTGCTCCTAAGGAGACAAACATATTGGGAGCGCTCAACACATTTATGAATGTCTTATAGTGGCTGGATAAATGACAAGCAAGATGTATTCAGAGATTCATTCTGTTCTTTCTCACTTGTAGAGTCCATTGGTTGAAAATCAATAAAGCATTGACGGTTATTTATCACCTTACATAGAATCCTGTCAGCTGACTTCACATTCGTCTGTTGCATACAACCAGAGATAAAGGCATTTAATCTGATAATCCTAGACTACATATTTTGTAAATGTTGGCTCAGCAGGAAAACAGAACTTCCTAATGTTTCATGTGAAATAGCATGATGGTATACTAGGTGTTTGAGCTGCGATTTCATTTTTCGTTTTCATCATTAGCTAAGGTAGTAAAATTGTCAAGAAATCTTATTCAAAATATTATTGGCAGTTTATTGAAATCTGTCATCAGTGAAATGTCAAATAAATCAATCATCTGGAGTTTGCATACATCATATCTTGTTCACAAATTATATAACTTTCTTTAATCGAATTTTAGATTTTCCCGTCGATTGGTTGAACTGATGTCGGCTTCTTGTGCAGATGCTTCGACGATATCTGGGCATGTAATTAGAATTTAATTAGTGGATGGTGACTAGCAGTGGAATCCAGGATAAAGCGCATTTCGTCCTGCTAAGGACTCGTCGTCTGGATGTATCCAAGTGGTCTAGTTTATAGCGCTTTGGCGTCTGAAAATATGGGCACTGGGTTCGAGCCTCGGTGGGAACATCTTCACTCACTGGAGAATGCAGGTAAATCCAGATGACGAGTTTCACATAGGACGAAATGCGCTTTATCCTGGATTCCACTGCTAGTCACCATCCATCAATTAAATTCATATGACTTTCTGTCTAAAATTACATTAATTTACCATAGTGGCGGAAATCAAAGGTCAGATTCACTGCCCAAAACTTATCGAGTCCGATTTCCCCAGGGCTGAACAATTTCCCCTTCTTAAGCGTGAGATGTTGAAGTAGTCTGAAGTTTGAAATATTCTATAACGGTCTGTTCAGTGTTATGTTCTTTTACTATTGTGGGAATACTTTATTTAGTTAACTAATTAATTTAACTTTTGATCTGTTTTCCTACATTTTTTCTTTTGACTGCTATCACTATCTATGATACCCTTCCTACCTGATGAATGCAACTCGCTGTGTTCTGAAAACAAGGCACCATGCACTGAAACACCTGCATTTAATTTACTATTAAAAACTCAGGATAAACAAAATATTTGGTATTGTTATCTTTATCAAACTGTCTATATGAGTCATAATGTTATACCGAATGTACAATCTGCAAGATGCGAAATACCATCCGTAAGTTGACGCTGTACTATGATGATATAAAATTCTTCAGTTTTTTTCATTCTTGTTCGTTTGTTTAAAACAGTGAGAATATTGAAGCGGACATGTGTAAAGTGAGTAAGGCGGCCTTGCTTAAATCTATGAGCTGTCTTATTTTCCATGTAGTACAATGCATCAACTATACTTAATTATTACTTCGTTCTAATCACCTATTTTTGTCCTTGAAAAACAGTCTGTAATTATGTACTTTTTCGATTGACTTTCAACAAATCGCTTGGTCCATTTGGAAGGAATAAATAAGTTAGCGATCGATGTATGTTTCATATGGAAACAAATCCCGTCAAACGACATAATGTAGATCACCGCTTTACCAGAAGATTATGTATGAAGAGTAAATAAAGACAAGCTGAAAATTCTATGCTGTATATAAAGTGTATTATTACTATTCCCTGGGGTTCTGAGTGAAACATAGGGCTTCAACGACACATCTCTACTTTGTTATGTTTTCTGCTGTCCTCTTCAGCTGGCTGATTCCACAACGGTCTATAATCTCGCATCTCCCCCTCTAACTCACACGGTCTCCTCCAGGGTCACACTGACGACCCACTCGTCGTTTCCCATTACGATTCAACTCGAGCAATAGCCTGCATTGTGCGCAATGTCACTTGAAGGCCTCCTCAGCGGCGTATGCCCGATTCATCCATCTCCATTTTCTCCTACATATTTGTTGAGCGATCGGCTGTCACTTGTTGGTCTGTTGCCAGCCAGGGTTTCTTGTTGCTAATTCTTTCTGGCCGGTCATTTTATCTTCATCTGAAGTGGTGACGACCAGAGGTGTCCGTCAAGGATGCCCATTATCCCCTTTTCTATTCAACTTCATCATAGATGTGTTAATGGACTTAACCCTAACTCACTTCAGCGACTCAGGGATTGACTTTCTACCAGGGAGGGGATAATCTCGTTGACTTAGAATATGCAGACGATATAGTCCTCCTAGGTGACGACTCTGACAAAATGCAGAGTCTTCTAAACACCTTGAACAGCAATCTACGAATGTTTGGCATGCGATTCGCTCCCGCCAAATGCAAGATGATGTTACAGGACTGGACTACATCGACGCCTAGTTTAAAAATAGGAAGTGAAGTGGTAGAGCACGTTGACCACTTCACTTATTTGGGAAGTACCATAAGCCAGTGACAACGGGTTGATCTCTGACGAAATCTCAGCACGGATACAGGGGGCTCGTTTCGCATTTGCCAGTTTACGCCGTCTCTGGCGTAGACGAGATGTTCGACTATCGACCAAAGGGTGGGTGTACTGCTCAGAACTCCGCTCTGTCCTCCTTTATGGCTAGCTGTGAGACCTGGCCACTGAGAGTGGAAGACATGAAAAGCCTGGCTAACTGTCTTTGATCATAGGTGCCTGCGTTCTATCTCCCGTGTGAAGTGGTATAATAAGGTGAGCAATATTGAGGTTAGGCGTCGAGTTCTAGGTAAGGAGGGGAAATCAATCGACGAGACTTTGAAGCTACATCGATTGAGATGGTTAGGACATGTGTTACGTATTCCTAGTCATCGCCTTCCTCGACCGACGGGAAATGTTAGCTGATATAGGGTCAGGCTGGAAAAGAGCCAGTGGTGGTCAAACCAAAACATGGACTCGTCGGTCAATGAAATCTACAACAGTTAGTCTAAGACAGCCACGTAGGGAGGTGTAGACTTCCTGACTGGTTGGGGTCCTCGGGACGGTAAAAACCAATGGCTGGAAACAATTGGTGACATGGCTCAAAATCGTTCTCAGTAGCGGGCGCAGATGCATCCACTCCCTGTGACTTATGATTTCCAATGAAACTGTATTGTTCTTCGTCACTACTATTCCTTTGTCTCACACCTCTGTTTACCGTCTCTGATGTGCATTTCTTCTACTTTCTTCTCTTGCTTTATGTGCTACATGGAGGGAGTGTGGTGACATGAACTTCCGCACATTTGTGCAAAGTTCTATGTCAAAAACAGACAGACAGCCATCGAAGTGGGCAGTAGTTGATAAAAGTCTGCAGTGGCCTGTTGCAAATACTCTTCGTGACACGATGGCCAAGTTTCTGACCCGCATAGAACAACCGACTGACTGACTTCACATTTGTGTTGAACAGAATCGAAGGCTTGTTTTTCACGCTAGCTAAATGAAGCAGATGGTTTCTAAACCGGTTTCACGTTGATGAAAGCGTATCTTGCCTTTCTGATTTCTACTGACTGGCTGGCTTTGACATTTTTGTTCGTGCTGTCCGACTGACTGTGGTTGAAACGACGCTTCCTAGATGTGTGAAGGAAGTTACCTCTTTCAAATTTATTTCGTTGGTAATGACTGGTGCTGGTTGTTGCTGTTGGTTGGTTGTTCGGTTGGTTATCTTCATCACCCCCATCTTCCCTTCTCTTTGTTGACATGGAGTCCTGCCTTCTCTGCCTACCTCGCGTCTTCCGCCAGTTTGTCGCTTTTCACTTGTCTCTAAGTCTTCGAGTTTGTGTGCATGACATTATACATAAATCATCCACGCGCGAAATCCAAACCTTTTGGAGTCTTCACATCGGCGAGTGCAGCATATTCCTGTATTCTCACTCCCAACATACAACCTTCAGCATAATTCATTCCATTACAGTCAGGAATATCATCGTGGATGATAACAGACAGCCAGCCAGCTTGTCTTACTCCTGTATTCACTTCAGAAGCTTCTCTGGGTGGTATTCTGTTGTGGATCACCTAACTGACACGTGGCATTGTCATATAGCAAGCCAACTGTTGAATGAGGTTTGTGGTGGACCTTTCACTCTGTTAGCTTAGTTACCCAAATTCAAGTAGAAAATAAAATACCAAATCAGCTTAGTTATGGGAAGAATATATTAAAGTTTCGTTACTTGAGTTTACAAAGATCCAAAAATCCACAATAAACGTAATAGACTCCGGAGGCGCTGCGGGAAGACTGCTCCAGTACTAATTCTCCAATGTTGACGTTGTCGGAGGTCGACCAAAGTACGTAGGAAGAAACTACGGTGCTCCTGCAAACATTTGAGATAGAAAGCAGGTGATTAAAAATTGATCGACGGCAGTTGAGACGGTGGAGAAGACGGAGAGTCGGAGAAAGAACGATATATTTATTCAAAACCCGAGGTAAAGTTCAAAGTACAGAGTTTATGGTTAGAACAAAGTGATGTACAATATGTTCATTTCTTACATAGTAGTAAAATTTGGATAAGTTTATTTTTGAGGAATCCACAGGTTGATTAAGAATTGGCACTGCATGCCACCGTAGTGTTGAAGTATTTTCCAAATCACTTCCCGGTCAAAGCTGTCTGTCAAAGGCCTTTACGAAGTCGATGCCCTGTTCAATGACGACGCGTAGAGTTGCAATTTGATAAGTACATGATTTGCCTTTCCTGAATCCAGCTTGCTCTGGTCAAGTGGGGGAGTTCTGCACGCAGTGCATCTATTATTCTCTCCAGGATGACGAGATTTAGTACTTTACATGGCATGGACAGAAGAATTCATTATTCCACGCCAGTCAGTTCTTTCACAGTGAGGCGTAAGTCGCCCTTCTTTGGTATTTTGACAAGGTAGCCAGCGTTTCTTCCAATTAGGAGGCATGTTTCATTCCCTCCAAACCTTTTGCAGTAATGATATGAGCACAACTGCCACAGTCTCTGAGTCCGTCTTCAGTGCTTCACATTGTGAGCGCGGGGCGGAATTCCATCTGGTCCTCGTGCCATCCCGGTCGATGATCAATAGCTTTATAATATTCAGAATTTCTGCTTTCGCTGGAGGAGTGGTGTCCACTGTCAGGCAGGCAGGCAGTTCTGAGGGTGAAGGTGGTGTATTTCTGGCCAGGTTGAAGGTGATAGGCGATTCAAGAGTCCTTCGAAGTAATCAATCTATCGTTTCCTTTGTCTTTTCTCCTTGATAATCAGGTTTCCTCGAACATCTTCCACTGGTTTCATCATCTGGGTCGATCTTTTCATGGATAGTGATAGAGACCTGGTGCCTATCTAACATAATGTTCTGATGTCTTGTTTACCTGCGCATTGCCTGTTGGGCTTCGGTTGCCACCAGCCAGTGTGTCGTAGAATTGTCGTTTGCCTTTCCTAGCACTCTTCTTCGCTTCTTCATTCAGTGCAATGTACTTTGAAGTGAGTTTCTCCTTCTGTTGTCCATCTTTGCATTGAGTCATGTTCTCTTTCACTATCCTCCTCTCCTCTCTCCTATTAGCTCCCAGGTAGGTGTCCGCTGAGAGCCAGCCATTCCTTGTATTGTCTCTTCTTTCTTCCTAGAACAGTTCTACTCGTTTACTTCAATATCAACTTCAGAGAGTCGGTTCTAATGTTCTTTCACACAGGTTTCTTCAATGATGCTATGAAGTGTATCCGACTTTGCTCTGATCTGATCTGTAGTGAAGATGTCACTTGTAGTTTTGTCCTTCACTTTCTGGATCTTGAACTTGGATTGTGATCTGTCTCCAATTACTCTGAAAGCTTTTACCTTGGTCTTGAAGATTCTTTGAACTAGATAGTGGTGTGGGCACATATCTGCCTCCTCTCGACTTTGTGTCCAACAGGCTGGCTGCGTCTCCACTTCTTTGAGATTGAAATGAAGTTTATAGGGTTTGAGGTGTGTCTGTTAGGCAAAAACCATGTTACTTTGTTTTTATCCTTGTGTTTGTACACTCTGCCTCCAACCATCAAATCACTGAAGATGCAGAGGTCTGCGAAGAGTTCTCCACTTTCACTCATTTCCTCGAGAGTCTCTTGACCCATGGTGAGTTCTTTTACCGTATTTTCTGTTCTTAGCTTCGCTTTCATTCATATCGCCCATAAGGATATGATGTCTCCATTTGGAATGTTGTACATGGATGTTTGCATTTTTCAATAGAAATCCTCCTTCTTCTCTTATTCTGATTTGTTTGTAGCATTTGATGATTATAACATTCCTTCGTTCCTTCCTTCCTTTTGAGTTGAATCTTGCATGTAAACTATAAAGCTGTTATTATCAAACATTTTCTTACTTATATAATACAAATAAGGGAAATATAGCAATTCACACAGATTATTATTGAGAATTTCTTATAATTAACTTCTAAAGTATTTTTCAGTCACTCAGTTATGAAGAGTTGGTCCTTGCATGAATGTATTTAGCTTATTTTTATCAGCATTACTTTTAATCACTTACTTAACAAGTATGGTATACTTTGGTGTTGTTGTTGTTGTTGCTATCTTCGTTGGCCTGGATGATTCAAGTGTGAAGTTCTCATTGTCCTGCTTTTAGAGCTTACTTTAAACTATGAAGTAGGCTATTGTAATTCCCCTTGAATGAAATAACTCTGCTTTAGCAGAAATTGTGTATTGAGATTTTGTTGCCAAGACAAATTACTATAAATTTGCGATTTGTACAGCTTGAGAATGATATCGTCGAAAAGAGTAACTCTTTGCTGAACACCTTTTCTTTTCTATGACTGAATGGGAATTTTCAAGTTATTGAGATTCTTTTAAATGAAAACAAACTAGAATTAAAACTTATTTTACGATGGAATACAGCATTTAAATAAATAAAACTGTTTCTGAAGCATTAAAATTATGCCTGCAACAGTCACATTTATTATTTTGATTTCGGTAATAAAAGCGAACAAAAGTTTTATGGATTCCAGTTTGCTGTTATGCATCACTCCACTTATATATTTATAAACTATAAAATTTTGTCAATCAGGCAAACATGTGATATGATTATTAAGTGAATTATGCATAGTGTTGCGTTAAACACAATAAGGTAAAATACTTGAAAATTGAATCTTTCTCTCACTAGATAGTAGAGGATTTGGCTGGCAAACCATTTTAAAGTGATGCTGAACCTGATCATCAATACATCAGTATTTCATAATCAAGTGATGTGAATTGATGTCTCATGGATAGTTTGTTATACTTCAGCTGTATGCATCCGGCTTACTTCGTCCAGCCAAAGAGGTAGGGGGAAGAGAATGACTGAATCTAGCGTTGAATCATTTGTTTCTAATCAAAGCAAAAATATTAGAAGTAATCGATGTGTAGATAATTAACCTGCCTAAGCTTCTGCAGTTGTTCAATCCCATAGAAGGACATTATGTCGATTAAACCTAAGCGACTTGCAATAACAATAAATTTCAGATCATTGGGAACAATGTGACTAATCTTTAATCAAAGTAAGCCACTGATCCAGGGTCAACTACTCCAGTCTAGTAAAGAAGAGTATTTTAACTGGAACATAACTTGACTAGTTAATTACGACTAGTTCAAATGAACTAACTATATTCCAACAAATTATACCACCTGATTAATTTATAGTTAGATATAGTTCAAATCATCCTTATCATCCTTAAAGTTTAATTTACACATACAGAATCAGTCAATCTTTCACTTAGTTATGTCTCATGTAAAACTAAATTTTAGGAATATTCATCCACGACTGACTTGCTTCACTTTCTTATAATATACAGACGATTATATTAAATCGAAATATTCTTTCAAAACCAAAATTCCAACTCAAATATGTCAACCTGAACACTGTATTTAGATATTAACTATTGTGAAGGTATTAAAGTATGTGTTGAGAAGAGATTCTCAAGATTCTTGTGTATATGTGGAAGCTTGGTTAAAAGGATATTCAATGCTTGGGACATAAATAACTCGATACCTTCACCTCTGAAACACTATATTTGTTTTCGTTTAGAATGTCTCGGATAACCTGGAATTCTTCCTCTACACAATATTCGGAACAAATGGAACCCACTCGAAACGTTAAGCACCTGATCAGATTACGTTTGTATTTCATCGGTGCGAAGCTAAAAAAGTGTGTATACTGAGCTTTGTTCTCTAGCTTTCTAAATATGTTTCTTTTGACGGAACCCCCCTCCACTCTCGTTAGTAGGACGTTGAGGAAGTGCACAGAGTCAGTGTATTCTCCTTCGTAATTGAAATGGACCACTGGTTGAGCATTATTGAAGTTACTCAAAATCAAATCACTATGTAACCCATTCAATGACAGTACATTTCTATTCATCCTATTTCATCTTCCAATGGACTATTTTCTAGCTTAGCTAGAAATGTGTTCACAAAAATAGGACCTAGTGGAGATCCCATGGTCACTCCATCAAACTGTCTGTACATTTCATTATTAAACAAGAACTGGACAGTTTTGCTGCACATTTGACAAGTAGTTGTTTCAGATATCCAAATCGGAATATCAATGCACAATTTCCTTTCTATAATCTATTCGCAGATATAATCGATGGTTTCCACTAGAGGCACATTAGTGAATAGAGATGAATCGTCAAGTGAGGCCAAACATTTACCAGTTGCGTTCAATTTTTTAATCTCGTCAATAAATTGGAAGATATCCTTGACTCTATGCTTAACTAACTCGTCATGCAAGGATTGACGTAGGTGTATCAGCCAATTTTCCGTCTCGTGATAGGGTGAATGAGACGTGTTTAGTGTGGGACGTGGGGGCACTCCTGATTTATGCAATTTGGTATACCTACATTTATTTATTTTTTATTCTTGATTACAGCTTGATTCCACACCGTATTTTCGGTACAAGTGTGGAATTTTCAGCGTGGATATCGGTAGCCGAAAATTCGCAGGCCTACCATAGATATCAGGTGTTCGTCGGCGTGGGCTCGAACCCTGGACCATGTGCATGGTCGGCGAGAGTCCTAACCACTATGCAACCGACGCACAATGGTGTCTTTCATTACGTTACCACCACTACTTGTATGCCTTCACTTGTACTACTTATCAGTAACAACTCATTCTTACTTATCCCGTAAATTGTTGCTTCTGTTGCATGTGCTATTGATAAGATTTATCAGTTATATGTATAAGAGATGTTCATTAGCATAAAACACCAAATAGCAGGGATATAGATTTGATGTCATAGAAAGCAAATGATACAGCGTTGCGGAGATAAATTGAAGAAGTGGAAGGAACGCAAATAAGGACAGTATGAAGACCACAAGTAGTACAATATGGAAGATCTGTGCAAATGTTGCATTAAAGTTAAGGTGTAACTAATTTGGCTTTATATAGAGATACCAAAAGGCAGATAAACATTTCTTACCAAGTCTTTCGTCTTTCTCACTATCAAGTAATCAGATCAGTTCATTTCCAAAAGTTTGCATTTCATTTATTGTATAAACATCTCATTTTGTTTATTTGAATCTTTATTTGATGATTAACCTGTAGCTTCTGTGTTCCACTTTCTCTTGAATTCCATACATCGTGGTGTCTTTATTCATGTTTTCCCTATTTTGACCCATGTCATGTTTGGGAGACTCTACTTTTCGAAGGTGTTCTTCTTAGCAGTAAGCCCAATCACCTTAATTATGTGGTTTGTAACTTGTTACTCATGACTGTTACCCACTATTCCGTGTTCTGGATTCCTTATTTCACAATAGCATTCTGTTTATGAGGGTCGATTTATCAATTACCGAAAGGCCTATCAATCGTTCTCACTATACACTTATCAAAAGAAATGCATACCGTTCTTGCAGTTTAATTTTGAAATTCGTTTAAATCCCAAAACTGCTTTCATAACTACACAGGAAGAAAACCTACTTCCCCTCAGAAATAAAAACCTGTTTTGATCAACGTAGAAGTCATAAGTTCTACCGATTTGATATTCAGGAGACAGTCACTTGTGTTGAACTAGAACATGTACACTGATCGTTCACCTTAGGTAACAACCTAAGAATTATAACTGCTGTAGTCAACCAAGGCGTACTTTAGGATAGATAATCACCGGTGTCACGTTATGAGTCTGGTTTTATATCATAAACTGGTAGAAGTTAGGAATCATAGTCTTATGCACTACAATCCAGTGGAAGGTTAGCAAGATTTCAAGACCTAACAGTCTCGATATTCACGCAGTATAGAGTACTAGATGCTAATTTCTGAATGATTCCAAGGAAAAATAAAACAGTTTTTAGTCAATCTCCAGCTGATGTTCAACCGTGATGAAAAGAACTTGGAGATAAGTAAATTCCTAAAAGACTTTTCAGTTGAAAGATTCAACAATAAAGGACTACTTTTTGTTGAAGGAAAAGGTTTAAAGGTCAATGAAATATTTTGCTAACAGAAAAATTTCTACATAAACTCATCATACTTTAAACACTTCTTCATTTGTACTATTTCCACTTTCGTTTTTAATAATGAGTGAGTAATACTCCATATTAAATTGCTAAGCACTAGAAACATTCGTTATCCTTACCTTCATTTTATATTTCATTGTTTATTTCTTTCTATTAGCCTACAAATTTAGAACCTGAATCTCGTTTAGTTCAATGGGAGAATTCTGTATACTCTTCGCTTGATTTAAATCGTCCAGGTGTTAGCATAATGGCTAGTGATAATTTCTTGTACAGTTCTGGTTGGTTTCATGGAGCTATGAGAATACATCGTTCACGTTTACCAAATTTTGATGGACAAGCTAATTGGAATGAATTTCTTGCCACTCCATCAGATGAAATTTTTTTAAAAGGTAGAATATTCAATGAACCTTCAACGTGATGATTAGTTTTGTAAAAATGCAGTGAGCATTATAAATTGTGACAATCCAAGGTTTATAATAATTCTAATTAGGTTTTGACTAATTTGGCCTGATAAATAAGCAGTACACAAAATATCTTTACTGGCTAACTCTAATTATCATTTCAATATGCATTAACTATGACTGAAAAATATCTTTAAACTTTTTGGTAATTTCATCAGCATTCAGTGCCCATTCTTATACGGAATCAGTTCAAATGTCACCATGGTGTTAACAGTCTATTATACTAGATAACATGAACAGGACTATATCTGGAGTAGTTACACCTAACGTTCTCAACGGCATTCTGTGTGTAAAAAGATAAGTATTTCGGTTCATGTTCATACATGATACATTGCTATCGCTTGTAATTCGTTTAGGCAGCTACGTTCAAAAGCACTAACAGATTAATTGACATTTTGGTAATTCAGGTAGTATAATGGTAAATATAGTAAATAATTGTCCTGGAGAATTGAAATTTACATGTTCATATTTAAGACATATGGTCTCGCAAAATACTTAAATAAAAATGAATATTAGTCAAACAATCCTAGTAGAAATTCAGTGTTTCACCGCATACAATTTTCACAGATTAGAATCTGACTCCGACAAGGATATATGAATTATTTATAAAAATGATTTTTCCTAAATTAAGTAAAGGGTACAGTGATCTGAACACATTTACAATCTGATTCACAATGTGATGTAATTTAGTCAACATAAGAATACTTCTCTATCAATTCAAGAATTCACAGCTTCTTTTCACGTGGTCTGTATGGTCACAGAATATGAACAGAGTTTGAAGAAATGTGTGTTGTAATCTTTGTGAATACTCTGATACTTTAGTATGAATAATATTGCAACTACAGAAGACAAAGACCAGGCAACAGATCGTTTATTCAGAAAATCAACAGATATTTATAGATTTTTATGTACATTATTATTCCTTATTGTTAGCATAGAAGTAGCCTCTTCTGATTGGTTGTTTTCCTGCTGAAGATTATTGTGTACTGCTTGTGACCGTTTCTTAGAAAGTTAAGCCATATATCTGCGAATCATCTTTGCATACGTTAGTCTGTTGTGATTGGTTGTTGAGTTCCTCAAGGTTAGACTTTGTTATTGTTTTTTCTCATGACCTCGATTACGGACGTAACATTGACGTAAACTGTTGTCTACAAGTTTGACTTGTTAGCAGCCAGCTCTCACCACCTTATCATTTATCCCTGACTATTGATACAATGGTTAGTACTAAGGGCTTTTATGAGCACAGTGACATGAACAAAATCTATTATAAAGCTTCCGAATTAATTGGAGGCCTTAGGAATTTTCCTTCATCTGTCGCAAGCTAACCAGTAGACATAATGATCCTAACATTGTGTTTATCTTGCTGAGTTTAGTCCTGTGTATGAACGTGTTTATATAAAGCGGTTGTGAACCTTCATAAAAAATGATTTCGAAAAAAGACTTCACTAAAATTATTTGTCTCAAAAATCTATAAAATACTAAATGTAGGTGAGTCATTCTGAAAATAAGAGATGAACACATTTGTCAAACACTTTAGCCACCTGCTTACTTCCTGAAGTTTTAAATAACATTCAACACTTTATAAGTGTTTTAGATTTCCAATATACGTGAACCTTTTGATGTTAGGTAGTTGCAGGCAGTCGGTGGGAATCCCTGGACCTAGGTTTTGTGCTTCTTTGGCACTCTTCAGTAAGGTGTATCTGCAACCTTAGAGGAATTGATTTCCCTCAGAAGGAGACTATTCAAAATCATTCAAATTCTGTTAAGAAATATGACCATAGCATAATGACTAGAATAATGTAAACAGTCTGTCTGTCCGAAAACACTTTGTGTATGAATATAAACAGTCTTATTAAAGATGAATCCGTTACACAGGAATAATCCTAAACTAAATCAAGGACTTAGTTCAGGAGATAAATGTGTGCAGGAAAAGTAATAATAATAACAATTTGTGGTTCTAGTAACACATACCATGAAGATGCAGAAGGTGGATTAACTGAACCCTTCATTGTAAGTTATTTACAGTGAAGCCTATTGTTTGCCTGTTTTCCACCTTAATAATTTCAATTTTCACAGGTTTCACATTCGTCAGCTTCTTAGAATATCTGTTCATGAATACCATCATAAATCTTCAGGTTGAGGGTTTGTCAAGTGTTTACAGACTTCACTTGATGATGTGGTTTATCACAGTGTCAGACTATGCTGTAGGCATGCCTTCTTTCATTTGAAGACAAGTCACTCTGAGAAAGCAGATCACATCTTTTAAGAAATAAACTTCGGTCTCAGGTTGACATGTCGGCTTCTTGTGCAGATGCTTTGACGATGTCAGGGAATGTAATTAGGAGTTGATTGGTGGATGGTGACAAGCAGTGGAATCTAGGATGCGCATCTCGTCCTATTTGGGTCTCGTCGTCTGGATGTACCTGCATTCCCCAGTGAGTGAGTGATGATGTTCCCACAGAGGCTTGAAGCCAGTGCCCATAGTTTAAAACACCAAAGCGTTATCTACTCAACCACTTGGGCCACGAGAGTCACCTCTTGTGCAACGGGTCATATCAATTAATAAATTCTAATTACATGCCCAGACGTCGTCGAAGCATCCGCACAAGAAGCCGACATGGGGAATGCAGGAACATCCAGATGGCGAATCCCAAATAGGACGAAACGCGCATCTTTGATTCCACTGCTGGTCACCATCTGCCAAATAAATTCTAACTTCATTTTTACCCAAATGGCATCTATGCATGCCAGTAGTACGCTTCTTTACTCAAAATTGAAGGCATCCATAAATTAGATATCTCGTATATTAATTTTTTTATCTATATCGAGTATAGATTATTTCACTCGGTTTTACTGACTTCACTAGATCATTTTATGATAGATTACACAACTAATTTGAAAAAGTGTTGTGGATGGTATGGCCGTTATCTGCCTACTCATTCTGTTTAGTGGTATACTTCCACCTTGCTCTCAGTGTTTGTTTTACAAAATCATTATGACACTAGTGAAATTCTCTTTTTATTTTGTATCAATTTTTCTAATTTTTAATGAACAGAATCAACTCATTTCATTTGTGCATTTGAAACAATCGATTCAGTTTACTTCTTAATACGTGAGCTGAATTCACCAACATGTGAGGCTAAAATTCATAATCGTTACGTTCATGCATTCACTAAATCGTCGTCATCGTCATCATCGTCGTCAACTACAAAGTCGACAATCACAGTCAATGAGACACCAGTTACACGGTTAATACGCATATGTAAAGGTGATCCAGGCGGATATCCATACGTGAATGAAGGAGAATTCGCCACTTTCAGTAAAGTGACATTAGAATGTAAATTCAGTCAACATCACCCAGTGAATAACTATAAAACAATGAACAATAATAATAAAGTCAACAGTAAATTAGTAACAGAATTTTCTTATGGCTATGCGATAGCTGGTAAATGGGATCCAGTTGACAATAAGTTATATGTAAGCTATCAGACGGGAATGTGAGTTAATATTGTTTCTTTGATACTTTCATTAATTTATTCTTACTTAATCTTAAAGAAAGTTGTATACATACACACACAGTTTGATTATACTGGCATCAAGAAGAAATGTGTAATTCATGACTATAGTTTTTTCGTTAGGATTAGTGTTATTAACCGACACTCTCATGGATGAAGTATTTTAGTTGTCAGCCTAGCCTTCATTTTCAGTGTAATGTCACACAGACTGAAACTAATATCTTCACTGGTGTATTATTGAATGATCCAAAAAATGCTGAATAATACATACCATCAGCGACTTTTATCAGTGGCTTCCGGGTATTTAAAACGATTGTTGAATTTCATAACTCCTACAAGCTTCTCACCAACAAGAAACTATGGGAACAAACAAAGCAAGAACCAATCGCCAACCAACAAATATGCAGGAGAAAGTGGAGATGGATTGGACACTCGCTGAGGAGGCCGCTGGGTGACATCGCGCGCGCGTCAGGACATTGCTCGAGTGGGTCCCGGAAGAGAAGAGGCGAGTGAGACGTCCAAGGGTGACATGGAGGAGATCGTGTGAAGAGGAGTTGAAAGAGCATGGACTAAAATGGATACAGGTGAAAAGTACAGCAAAAGATAGAAGCAAGTAGAGACGTGCAGTTGAAGCCCTATGTTCCACTAGGAGCCCAAGGGAACAGTAATAATAATAATACAAGGTTCTCAGATAGTCAAGTGTTTCATACCATAGAATTCTACTCTTCTGGGGTAAATAACTTCTAGATAACGAGATCAGTCATTCTCGGTATATTTGCGTTCTTTGAGTTTGATAGTACAATTGCGAAGCTCTCATTGTATTTTATGCATCAATTTTAGAGTTAACTTTAATTCTGTGTCGGTTAGCACAGAGGTCTTACTTGTCTTTGCATACACAAAAATCGAATACTTGCCGAATGACATAGTAATCACTACTTCATATGAATACATGAGGACAATTACGGATATCAATGCAACTGGGAAAAGGAACAAGGCTTAGACAAGAGAGAAACCAAAAATGCCAGGGAATTTCTAAAAGCCTACCACTCAGATGAACCTGCAATCAACTAACATAATTACATAAATCAGATTCGCCAAACAATGAAAAATAAAAGTCAATCTGAAGGAAGAATATTCTCTTCAATAATTTACCTTCAGGTTCTTACAATTATAAAATATAATATTTGTTGGTGTTATAATAATGGAATATATATAAACAAGATGAACTCCATGCTAGATGACGGCAGCAAGTTTCAGAAGCCGAAAATAATGGAAGATCAGACTGGAAAAGTAGAGAGAGATATATAACAAACTTGTTAAGGGATTTGAAAGGTAAGACGTATGTATCAGCTAAAACATACGAAAGCATAAAACCCACATGGAGAATTATCTCACGTATGTACGGTGAACCAAAAGTGCATAAATCAGGAGTGCCCCTACGTCCCATAATGAACATGCCTTATTTACCCTATCACGAGAGGCAAATCAGCTGGTACAACTACTGTAATCCTTGCATGACTCGCTGGTGAAGTATAGAGTCAAGGATACCTTCCAATTTAATGATAAGAATAAAAACTCGAAAGCAACTGGCAAATAAATGGCGTCACTTGATGTTTCATCTTTATTCATTAATCTAACTCTGATGGAAACCACCGATTGTATCTGCGAACAGACTATAGGAAGGAAATTTTGCACTGATATTCCTATTAGCAATCTGGGACAGCTACTTGTTAAATGTACCAAAAATGTCAAGTTCTTGTTTAATAATGAAATGTACAGACAGTTTAATGGAGTGACCATGGGATCTCCACAAGAACCTATTTTTGTGAACATATTTCTAGATAAACTAGAAAATAATCCATTGGAAGATGAAATCGCAGGAATTGAAATGTATTGTCATTACATGGATGAGACTTCTTTAGTGTGCGATGAAGGGTCACGTAGTGATTTGATTTTGAGTAACTTCATTAATTATCACTTAGCCGTCCATTTCACCTATGTAGGAGAATGCAATGACTCTGTGCACTTCCTCAACGTCCTACCAACGAGAGTGGAGGGGGGTTCCGTCAAAAGAAACATATTTAGAAAGCTAGAGAACAAAGCTCAGTATACACACTTTCTTAGCTTCGCACCGATGAAATACAAACGTAATCGGATTAGGTGTTAAACATTTAGAGCGGAGTCCATTTGTTCCAAAGACTGTGTAGAGGAAGAACTCCAGGTTATCCGGGACATTCCATTTGAGAACGGATATCCAGAGAAGTTCATTATAGGCAACATAGGCTACAACAGTCTTAAAAATGAACTGGGAACGGTGGAGAAAAAAGCCTCTAGCTTTACGCCTACAATTCAAGGGAGATACTTCTGCAGAGATTCTACCGCAACGTTTAACCAGGGCGATCAAGAAAACTTTCTACTCTGAACATCTGTTCCTATCCTTCAGTAGCCATCCGATGTTCACCCAGAAACTCAAAGATGTCTTACCTAACCTTAGCTCTTCTTCATGCATATACCATTTCAACTGTTCCTGTGGTTCAAGTTATATAGGGCCCACGAGTAGGCAGGTTCGTCTACACATTCGAGAACATTCACAAGCTTGGTTCAGCAGAGGAGAAATCAAATGCATAAAAAGCTCGATCCTGTCACACTTTGTCGATACTGGACAATGCATCGATACCAACACAACTTTCAGAGTTATACATCGAATTCCAAAGTCGTCTCCTACACATAGCTGAGTCTGTTGCAATAAGATCGATAAAATCAGAACTTTGTATCCAAAATGAACACGTCCGGACGCTGTCCCTACCGTGGCCAAACTTGGATTGACGATTATTCTTCTTACAAGGAGCGCCTCTTCCTCTTAACTCTTTTGGTTTTTTCTTCTTTGCTTATCACTACAATTATTATTATTCGGCATAATTTATACCCTTCATACAAACATTCTCTCAATGCTATCGAATTTTTCATTTATACTATCCGGACTTATTATTAGTGATATTATCTCTTTTCTCAATATATCCCTCCACCTGTTTCATTTCACACATTCCGAACCTCTCATTATAGTCTTACTATCTCCTCTTTAATACATACTACTTTGTACTAGCCACTCACCTGACACCTTTTATAACCTTGATCTGACTTGTCAGTTTTTCCTACCCCACATTCTACAAATCTATTATGACTAATCACCATCATTGTCTCCCATTTGACAATATTTTGTAGTCGACTTCAGCCTAGCACGTTTGTCACACAAATACTACTACTTATTTTGTCACCCCATGACTAATCTGTTGTTCTACGTTAAAAAAAATGTACCCTCCGCATAACTGGCCATTATTATAACGACAATAAATATTATATTTTATGAATGTAAGAACCTGAAGAGGAGAAATTATTGAAAAGAATATGCTTCGTTCAGATTGACTTTTAATTCATGATATGGGAATATTTCACACTACTAAATGAAAATTAAGTCACATGAAAAAAAGGTCAAACATCAGCTTAATAAATTTATAATTACCAATGCAGGTGGACGAGTTAATATGAGAAAATCACTGCAGGCAACGAATCACCTTCAGATTTGGCAGAAAAGGCGGATCCACCGTCCATTGAGTATTCTTGAAGTTTATTTAATTTGGAAACTACCGCCAAATATGCTGTTCAGAAAAACAATGAAAGTTTTGCGGTAAAACTAAAATATTTAAGCCACAAATGACCTCAAGTGAAACCGAATGATGTGCACTACGTGGTCACCGGATGGTGATCAGTGACATAAGGGGATTTTAGTTTAAATCAATACATAAACCCAACAATAAGATTACTATATATATATATATATGTTAAGTCAACTGTACTTCTGAATAGCAAATGATACTGATTCACATTATATAAATCAGTTAACAGTGAACAGCTTGACACTGTGACCAATAGTCAGTAAATACTGTTTTCTGTGTGTTCATGTCTCTCTTTAGGAAATATCTTACTGGGGATGCACTTTGTGTTTACTCTCTAAGTGATATAGAAGATGCTTTCGAAAGTGAACTGGCGCCTAATGAAAATTTCGAGGCAGATCAAGTATTACCAAATACTTTTAAAAATATTGTAAGTTATCGAAGTTCTAACTAAACGTATTTATGTAAGTTGTTTGTAAAAATAGCAATGACACTATGCAGTGACTCATCACTTTCTCGATAAATGAATAAAACAAAGTACTTGATCATAAATGTTTCAATATAAGTGTGAATAACACGTCTATAAGATGTCTGGGAAATTTAAGAGTACTGATTCGAGAGAATATGCGACCATGTAACTGTCAGCTGGAGAAAATCATGTTGACTTAGTTGAAAACAGTGTGTCTATTTAGAAAACAAAAGATGTTTATACGAGCACAGAAATATAAAATGTAATAATATTCTAAAAAAATATTGCAAGAATAACTCCCCACTTTTTATAGGAGTGCTAGTATTCTTCAAAGTGACCACCTCTTAAGGACAGAAACTAGAGTCAAGAGTTAGGGTTAAGAGTCATTATTCGATTGTATGCATATAGTTGTGATTAAAGCTACTCTGTAAATTCTGAAAACCTTTTCTGTTAATGGCATTCTCTTGTACTGGTCGGCATACCTTGTGACAGTATAAGTGGGTGACAGATGTGATTGAGGTTCGTATTAATGTAAATCTCTGTAGTCATATTATTACCATTAACAGATATGTCAGCAACAGTTGACACTGGGTTATATTTTATTGAAAGCTGTATTTCTCTTAGAGCAGTATGCATTGTTCAATAAATGCTAGCTTATTCATATCTGTCTGATGATTTGTCGAGGTCTGTTAATCTTTGTGAAAAATTTCAGTGAAGATCAGTAATTCCCCTTAGAATGAAAGATTAATGATTTGTTAAGCTGTACTTAGCTGTAGAACCTGAAATGTACCTTTCTACCTATCTTGAACTGGTTCACTTAACGTACTTATTTTAAAGACAGTTCCCACATTCCCAGCTTGTTTCAAACCCAGGATCCACTACTTCGAATGACAAGACACTAAGCATTCGGCTACTGATTAGTGATAGACACATTTTTTCCTCGAGGTATCAACCGTCAATCATAAATGTGTATCATCTCCAACTATTTCATCCTATTGGGTCAGTGCTAACTTGAGTTTTATTTTCGCGTTACGCGTTTATCGATAAAAGTGGTCCTGAAGATGATCAAAACAAATGACATTAAAATTAATAAGGTAGTCTTAGAAGAATGTGTCAAATGCTAACTTCAACCATTCTACTAAATCTAATACCACTGGAAAATTTACTTATGTGTAAGGTCATACTTCTCTCTTAGTGCACTTACTATCGTCACTGTGAATAATGTTCACAAATGATAATATATATGGAACGACAGAGGACAAGAGTCAGACAACAGATTGTTTATTCAGAAAATCAACAGATACTTATAGATTCTTATGTGGATTATTATTCATTGTTGTTAGCAGAGAGGTAACTCCTTCTGATTGGCTGTTTTCCTGCTGAAGGTTATTCTGTCATCTTTTTGTTGCCGTTTCTGAGGCAGTCCGTTGATCTATATCTGCTAATCGTATCCGCCCACACTAAGTCTGCTGTTATTGGCTGTTGAGTTAGTCTTTGTTTTTGTTTTTTTCTCATGACCAAGATTTGGGACATAAATATTGACGTAAATTGTTGTCTACCATTTTTGGCTAGCAGACAGCTCTCACCACATATATATATTCACTTTTGAACCTTGTTTGTGTCTAAGTAGACCAAAGTAATGATTTAGTTCATCTGATATCATAGATAGAATTATTCATTGACAAGAGTTCATCAATAAGTAAATCAAGTCGCTCAGTAACAATGAAATAAACTTGAAGGGGTTATAACATCGCTTAACAAACAATAAGCTAAACTCAGAAAAATTAAAAAAACCAAAAATGATGAAATAACGAACAACAGCTTTATTGCAACTGTGATGTTTATAGATTTCACTTTTAACTGATTTGAAGGAGGAGACAACGAGATGTACTCGAAACTCATTGTTAAACCAGTGGCGACAGACACCATGGTAACAGATATCGACAAATTTTAACAATCAGATAGTAACCTGTATTTCACTGGTGTTTTTGATTTTATAAGTCATTTGTGGAAGCTCCATACAGAGAGCGGTAATATCGCTGAAGGTAATACAGTAACTTAGTAATGGTATTAAATATAATTATAATAATAATGTCCTGAAAAGAGCTACTGAATATAATGTTAGATGAATGTAGTAATTTATTGTACTTGGAATATTAGTATTTCGAGATGACCGAATTACAAGAATCCAAACAAAACCCAGAGGGGGCAGAAATCAGGAATTTGTATTTAGCGGAATTCTTATGCAATTCATATATGAAACATATCAACAGTCAACAGTAAGTATTTTAAACAATACAGAGATAGAAATTGTCAATCACCACATCCGCCACACCTCGAATATCTCCTTGCGTATTTATAACGATGTCTCGGTTTGCTTGCAAGTAGCTTCAACCTAACTGATTCTGTGATATTATTTTCATCAGTATTATCTGGACTTATTTCTGAATTATCTACAAGATCAGGATTATTAGCGGAATCAATAATATTATAATTGGAACGACCTACTTCATTTATTGTCACTTTGTCCAGGTGTCCGTTATGAACTGAGTGATCTTTGATGTCTAATATCTTCACCACTCGATTTCCCATTTTTGTAGTATAATTCCAACAGAAGGTCTATAGTTATTATCTTTGTAATAATGTACATTAGAAGTCGTGGACATCAGATGCTTTTTGAGAATTCGAGATTTGAATAGTTTTGCAGGACTTTCACGGGTACTTGTATGCTCTGCATTCGACAGACGCAGTCTATGCATATGCAGTAATTCCTCAATTTTATTCAATTGCTCCCTCATCTCATTCAGGTCTTTTCGTGTTTTCGACAGTTCGCATTGAAACTCAGCTACCTCATTTTTGAAAACAGTTGACACTTGAGTTGCCGAACTTGTAGTGGAGGTTTTCATCGGATTAGCTTGACTATTTTGAAAGGTTGAAAGACACATTGACTCCATTTTACTAGACAGCTTGGGAGAATTATAAGAATGTTGAGCAACATAAGTATTCCAACTTCTGCAAACCGTCTTGAGATGTCCAACTTTACCACATTTATAGCACTTAGCACTCCGAAAACGGCAAGTGCTTCGTAGATGTAACTTTCCACAGGATAAACACGGTTTAATGTTTTTGATCTCTCGCTGCATTCTATTACCTGTGGACGGCAGTTTGGATTTCTTTCCATGAACACTTGTATTTTCGACTTTGGACAGCATGACATCAGATACTGACGTAGTGGGAGCACAGTATTCATTATTGACATCTTCATATGTAATACATACCTCTTTAGCAGTTTGAAAAGTACAAGAAGGAATCTGAATTAACTCTTTCTCTAATTTAGGAATATTGATTCCAGCAATTAGACGATCACGTAGTTGAGTATGCAGCTGATCTCCAAAGTTACACTTTGAGGCTTGAATTTGGAGTTGAAGAATAAAGTCTCGAATCTTCTGGTTGGGAGCACGAACCAGTTTGTTGAACTGAGCCCTCTCTCGCGTCTCAAAAGTAGTTTTATGGAAGTGATCTATAAGAAGTTCACGGAGCTTAGCATATGGCAGAGAAATGGGTTTATCTGGAAACGCCAGATTCTTCACTAGGCTATATGCCTCAAGCCCAATAGCAGTGATGAAATGTGCTGGTATTTTGTCATCCCGAACATTCTTGGAAATGCACCACGCATCGAAGCATTCCAAATAATCAGCAATCTCCCGCGGAGACCCATTAATGGGGAATTTTCCCAGGTTACTTAGCTCCATCGCGACGCCAATTTGTAGTAATTTATTGTACTTGGAATATTAGTATTTCGAGATGACCGAATTACAAGAATCCAAACAAAACCCAGAGGGGGCAGAAATCAGGAATTTGTATTTAGCGGAATTCTTATGCAATTCATATATGAAACATATCAACAGTCAACAGTAAGTATTTTAAACAATACAGAGATAGAAATTGTCAATCACCACATCCGCCACACCTCGAATATCTCCTTGCGTATTTATAACGATGTCTCGGTTTGCTTGCAAGTAGCTTCAACCTAACTGATTCTGTGATATTATTTTCATCAGTATTATCTGGACTTATTTCTGAATTATCTACAAGATCAGGATTATTAGCGGAATCAATAATATTATAATTGGAACGACCTACTTCATTTATTGTCACTTTGTCCAGGTGTCCGTTATGAACTGAGTGATCTTTGATGTCTAATATCTTCACCACTCGATTTCCCATTTTTGTAGTATAATTCCAACAGAAGGTCTATAGTTATTATCTTTGTAATAATGTACATTAGAAGTCGTGGACATCAGATGCTTTTTGAGAATTCGAGATTTGAATAGTTTTGCAGGACTTTCACAAGAACTTGTATGCTCTGGATTCACCAGACGTAGTCTATGCATATGCAGTAATTCCTCAATTTTATTCAATTGCTCCCTCATCTCATTCAGGTCTTTTCGTGTTTTCGACAGTTCGCATTGAAACTCAGCTACCTCATTTTTGAATACAGTTGATACTTGCGTTGCTGAACTTGCAGTGGAGGTTTTCGTTGGATTAGCTTGAGTATTTTGAAACGTTGAAAGACACATAGACTCCATTTTACTAGACAGCTTGGGAGAATTATAAGAATGTTGAGCAACATAAGTATTCCAACTTCTGCAAACCGTCTTGAGATGTCCAACTTTACCACATTTATAGCACTTAGCACTCCGAAAACGGCAAGTGCTTCGTAGATGTAACTTTCCACAGGATAAACACGGTTTAATGTTTTTGATCTCTCGCTGCATTCTATTACCTGTGGACGGCAGTTTGGATTTCTTTCCATGAACACTTGTATTTTCGACTTTGGACAGCATGACATCAGATACTGACGTAGTGGGAGCACAGTATTCATTATTGACATCTTCATATGTAATACATACCTCTTTAGCAGTTTGAAAAGTACAAGAAGGAATCTGAATTAACTCTTTCTCTAATTTAGGAATATTGATTCCAGCAATTAGACGATCACGTAGTTGAGTATGCAGCTGATCTCCAAAGTTACACTTTGAGGCTTGAATTTGGAGTTGAAGAATAAAGTCTCGAATCTTCTGGTTGGGAGCACGAACCAGTTTGTTGAACTGAGCCCTCTCTCGCGTCTCAAAAGTAGTTTTATGGAAGTGATCTATAAGAAGTTCACGGAGCTTAGCATATGGCAGAGAAATGGGTTTATCTGGAAACGCCAGATTCTTCACTAGGCTATATGCCTCAAGCCCAATAGCAGTGATGAAATGTGCTGGTATTTTGTCATCCCGAACATTCTTGGAAATGCACCACGCATCGAAGCATTCCAAATAATCAGCAATCTCCCGCGGAGACCCATTAATGGGGAATTTTCCCAGGTTACTTAGCTCCATCGCGACGCCAATTTGTAGTAATTTATTGTACTTGGAATATTAGTATTTCGAGATGACCGAATTACAAGAATCCAAACAAAACCCAGAGGGGGCAGAAATCAGGAATTTGTATTTAGCGGAATTCTTATGCAATTCATATATGAAACATATCAACAGTCAACAGTAAGTATTTTAAACAATACAGAGATAGAAATTGTCAATCACCACATCCGCCACACCTCGAATATCTCCTTGCGTATTTATAACGATGTCTCGGTTTGCTTGCAAGTAGCTTCAACCTAACTGATTCTGTGATATTATTTTCATCAGTATTATCTGGACTTATTTCTGAATTATCTACAAGATCAGGATTATTAGCGGAATCAATAATATTATAATTGGAACGACCTACTTCATTTATTGTCACTTTGTCCAGGTGTCCGTTATGAACTGAGTGATCTTTGATGTCTAATATCTTCACCACTCGATTTCCCATTTTTGTAGTATAATTCCAACAGAAGGTCTATAGTTATTATCTTTGTAATAATGTACATTAGAAGTCGTGGACATCAGATGCTTTTTGAGAATTCGAGATTTGAATAGTTTTGCAGGACTTTCACAAGAACTTGTATGCTCTGGATTCACCAGACGTAGTCTATGCATATGCAGTAATTCCTCAATTTTATTCAATTGCTCCCTCATCTCATTCAGGTCTTTTCGTGTTTTCGACAGTTCGCATTGAAACTCAGCTACCTCATTTTTGAATACAGTTGATACTTGCGTTGCTGAACTTGCAGTGGAGGTTTTCGTTGGATTAGCTTGAGTATTTTGAAACGTTGAAAGACACATAGACTCCATTTTACTAGACAGCTTGGGAGAATTATAAGAATGTTGAGCAACATAAGTATTCCAACTTCTGCAAACCGTCTTGAGATGTCCAACTTTACCACATTTATAGCACTTAGCACTCCGAAAACGGCAAGTGCTTCGTAGATGTAACTTTCCACAGGATAAACACGGTTTAATGTTTTTGATCTCTCGCTGCATTCTATTACCTGTGGACGGCAGTTTGGATTTCTTTCCATGAACACTTGTATTTTCGACTTTGGACAGCATGACATCAGATACTGACGTAGTGGGAGCACAGTATTCATTATTGACATCTTCATATGTAATACATACCTCTTTAGCAGTTTGAAAAGTACAAGAAGGAATCTGAATTAACTCTTTCTCTAATTTAGGAATATTGATTCCAGCAATTAGACGATCACGTAGTTGAGTATGCAGCTGATCTCCAAAGTTACACTTTGAGGCTTGAATTTGGAGTTGAAGAATAAAGTCTCGAATCTTCTGGTTGGGAGCACGAACCAGTTTGTTGAACTGAGCCCTCTCTCGCGTCTCAAAAGTAGTTTTATGGAAGTGATCTATAAGAAGTTCACGGAGCTTAGCATATGGCAGAGAAATGGGTTTATCTGGAAACGCCAGATTCTTCACTAGGCTATATGCCTCAAGCCCAATAGCAGTGATGAAATGTGCTGGTATTTTGTCATCCCGAACATTCTTGGAAATGCACCACGCATCGAAGCATTCCAAATAATCAGCAATCTCCCGCGGAGACCCATTAATGGGGAATTTTCCCAGGTTACTTAGCTCCATCGCGACGCCAATTTGTAGTAATTTATTGTACTTGGAATATTAGTATTTCGAGATGACCGAATTACAAGAATCCAAACAAAACCCAGAGGGGGCAGAAATCAGGAATTTGTATTTAGCGGAATTCTTATGCAATTCATATATGAAACATATCAACAGTCAACAGTAAGTATTTTAAACAATACAGAGATAGAAATTGTCAATCACCACAATGAATTAGCCTGTGGAGTTTGCTTCGGTCATCTAAATAACATTATACTTGCTATTTAGGTTTATGGATCCAACTGATGAAGACCTGATGAACAAACAGCAAAACTGAAATTCTTAACCTTTAGGTTACTCCCCTAGTTTTCTACATAGGGAACTATAAAAACTGACAGATTATTGTTTGTTATTTGTTCCTTGAGTTTTGAGTGAAACATGTTGCTTCAGTAGGACATGCTCAATGTAGTCTCTTCTCTAACGTCACTTTTGGCTGGCTCTAAAACTCCTCAGAAGCTTTCACTTCCTCTGTACATCGTCTCATCTCGTTTCCCATTAGCGTTACATCCGAGGGCCTGAAGTATATAACATTTGAATGTTTCCTCAGTGAATTTCTAATCCAACTCCATTTTCTTCTGCATATTTGTTGGTTAACAGGATTTTGGCTAATTTTCTGCGTGATAGAGCTTGTTAATGCCTATCCTTTCTGGAAATGTTCCCTATGAAGCTACATCTGTGAAGCACATTGGAAGCTCTGACTTGAAATTGGTGTTGAAAATTCGGATATGTTTAGTGTAATGAACACCTATCTTGCTTTTCGGATCCTGCCTTTGTCAGATAGCCAGGCCTTACTTTTCAATCATTAAATCTCTTGAGCGTACAGTAGTATGAGCAAGTCAAAACACACTAGTCCCGATCAAAATGGTGGTTTTCCTTTATGAAAATAGTGTACATACACGTCTACGTGATTAACAAAACCATATTGAATAGGCCCACCATAAACTGTTCCATCTTTATAAGAAATTACAAGCTTCTCTTCAAATGCAACATATATGCACTCTTTATCTTCATTTATTTAGTGCAAACGTTTCAGTTCTGGTATAATGACAGAATTAGACATAAACAGAGGTCGACAAATGCCTAGAACACATATGTCACGCGTAAAGCACGTCAACCCGATCGGTGATCGTCCATTAATAATTCGTCCTGTACCAGGATATCCATTTACACAGACTAGTCAGTTAGGATGGTATCATATAGAAATCGATCATGGAGAAAGAAATGCAATACTTTATCTGTCTGGTAGACAACGCATTGAACGATATGGACTATTCAATTTATCTACAGAAGATATCATGGAAATATGTCCATGGGACCAGCTGACCATTCAAGATTTTGGTATAGATGATGAAATCATTACCGGTGTTTATATGAAGCATATAAAACCTGTAAGTTGTAAATTGTTTTTTTTAGTTCATTGACATATTTTTGGGGGTTCGGTTCGCTGCCTTACAGACGAAATGCTCAGTTTATTTTACAAGATTATTTAAACAGATGAGTGAATATGAACATATTAAGCTGATTTCTAATACAGGTCATGTGATAATCAGCTAATGAAAGGATGAGAAAAGGGTAGCTTAATAATCCAAGCATTTTTGACGATATCATCAGACAGAGGGGACTATTCACTTCAAAAGTCGAAAAGTGGAATTTAATAAAATATGCTTATAAATACTATGTAAAGCTGACATTAGATGGTTGGAAGCAATCAGCAAGAATCCTTGGACCTAGGTTTCGTGCTAGCTGGCACTCATCGTCATCATCTAAAAGCAATATATTCTAGTGCACCGTGATCGCTAGCCACCTAGCATGGTGGCCACATTGAAAATTTGACTGATAGAATTCAGTCTGCACCAAAGTTATGACTAGACAAATTACATTGGTTACTGACTAGTCTCCTATCAAACATTATGTAAAATTAAATGTTTAACGGATAGCTACTTTATGACGTTACAGGACAGAATCAGTATAACGGTTGGATTTCATATTTATCCAGTCATAGTCTTAGTCTTATTTCTACAGCTCACTTGATATGTAAGCCTTAGCATTTAAGTAAATTCCTGACTATCCATAGAACTGTCTCTCTTCTGGAATATTAGCGTCAAACATTGAAAGAACTGGAAAAATGTATCTCCACTCCTCAAGTTTATCAAAGCTCCTCACAGTAACAAGACAGATTTCCTCATGAAACAAAGCCAGCTAGAGTGCAGCTGAATATCACTGTGTCCTCAGCATCTGTTCCATACTAATTCAAACCTCTTTAGCAAATAACACACCAAGCCTCGAACACTCACTTCCTGAGGAGGGTTATTAACCATCCAGTCTTGGGGTCAGAAATCAATGACTTGTAATTTTCTTGATAACACAGCTCTAGTTCAGCTAACCCGAAATCTCAATACGTGATAGTAATATTGTTTTTTGTAAAATGGGTATAAATTAGTATGGTATCACTGAGTGTTGAAAGGACTATCATAGCATAACGATAAATGATAATAGATGAGGCTAAAGTGTGACATTCAGATCAAGAATTATAGCTCACCATATGACATATGGTATATGTGTATCTGTTTTTTTGATTGCACACTAGTCAGTAACTACTGTTATGTGTCTAGTCCTATCTTCACTGCAGACTGAATTCTATCAGTCAAGCTTGCAATGTGGCCACCCTACTAAGTGGCTAGCCATTATGTTGCACTGTGAATTGTTGGTACTAGATGGTTGGAGACAATCGGCTACAGGAAGCCTTGGACCTAAGTTTCGTGCTAGTTGCCACCCGACAGTCAGAAAGGTGTATCTGCAACCTTGAATGAACTCATGTCCCTTCTGAGATTCAAACCCGCGTCACTCAGTGCTGCAATCAGAGACGTTACCACTGAGCTGATGAGTGCCAACTGGGACGAAACCTAGGTTCAAGGCTTCCTGCTTGTTATGTACTCGTCCCCAAATTATTGTTATGTACTGGTCGAGAATTTAATAGTCCTGACGCAAGAAAGACGGGAATCAGAAGACCACTAGGTTTGCGATGATACTTCTATTTTCCAAACACAAGGAGAAGCAATAAGTGGTATCACACCAAAGTGTCACACAAGATTGTGTGAGCGAAATATATATGAATGTCCGAACAAGTGTGTGAACAATCAATAGACAGTCTTAACATGAATGGCTAATTATAATGGAGTATCGATCCATATATACATAGCAAAATATAGCAGACATGTCAACAACCACACATATAATATGGATATATGTCACCAAGCAACGTACTGTCAACAAACACTCATATTATATATAATATAATATGGAACATACATTGTTAAAGGAGACAAGTTCATACAAGTGAAGTGGTCACAGACTAACCGAGCAAACAGAAAGAGAGACCACCATATATATATATATATATATATATATATATATATATATATATATATATATATATATGGATACATATCACGTCTGACTGCCTCTAACTATCTAATATGTATCTGTTCTAAGAGTTTCTCGTTTTTGTTGATCAACAAAACTACCAGACGAAAAGACGAAATAACAGTACATGAATTTCGAATGGTATCAGTAGGTTATACGGAGTATTTACTTAACCAGTATAAGGGGGTACAAATAGTGTTTGAAACTATGTGTTTAAGGAATAATTATTTTTACGACACTTTGTCAGAAAAGAGTATATATAAGGTTAGATTTATGTAGACTCTTATGTCATAAACTCAGAGTGCTGTTTTTGTAACCCACTAGACATTTAAACGTAAACGGGGGACTAGTGGGAGGAGTCTTTCTTCTCAGAATGTCAAACAATTTCTCAACTATAAGCACTAAGTGATGGAAGAACTGGGAACATGTTTCTTTATTCTAGTGATTCACCGACGATCTGTTTCACTATGTTATCGTATCATTCGGTTGAAGAACTACAGTGATAGAATATTTACTAGACTCCAGTCACTAATGACAATGGGACGATAAAACTCATTATTATCTTAAAAAGAATTGATAAATTGTTCAAGTTTTAAACTGCCTGCTTTCTTCTTTGCTTCTTTTCTATTTCAATTGATTGTTCAATAAACATACTGGATGAATAAGGCTAAAGAATTTTACATATTAACAAGTAAACACGTGATTCAACTGCCTAAATTCATACAACTATGTGAATCAATCAAAAAGTCAAGTGAATGTATCACTTCAAATTTAGTTTCATGTCGGTGGAATAGTGAAACAAGCACATGTGAAACAAAAACAAAATCTTCGTCCTCCCCCTCCTCCTCCTCCTCATCATCATCGTCCCTAGATTATGATGTAATAACCAGCATATCAACTGGTGTACACACTGTACATCGAAATACTCCTGAAGAAAAATCATTCCACTATCAAGACATTTTATCGAAATTTTCCACATCAAATCCAAATTTTTGCTTATTTGATAAAATTAAATTGGAAAAGAATATTAATGGAAAGAGAACTGCCTATTGGTGGAAAAGTCTTCAAGGTCATATGGAGCAATTACGAACTTCAACAAGCCAGGAGAATGGATTGTATTCAGACACTCATTTACCTATTCTATGCGTTATGTCTACCAGATCGAATATTATGAATCAGTACCAGAATCTTAGTTGTCATTGTCAACCGTGTTCTGATTGTGGTGATGATCAGTTATATAGAATGAAAATTACTAACTGTCAAAGTAAGACAGACGGTGTTTTTTTTCTTCACTGTAATATCCAACCCCTTTATGAAAACTACTTCTAGATCCCTTTTTCAAGTGTTGGTTTGTAGGAATTTGATTGGTTACAGGAATTCATCATGAGCTGACATTAGTTAGAGAACCATTGGAAAACCTGGGAGTACTGGACAGCTGTTTTGTCCTAGTTTGAGACTGTTCAGTAGTACGCATCCACCGGGATTCGAACCCATGACCTTCTGGTTACAAGGCAAGCTCTTATACCATTGAGCCACTGGGACCCGGTCCAATGGCCCATGAATTCTAACTTCTGCCAATTCACGACATAGCGCGACCCCTAGCCAGTGTCTTCGGCGAGTATTCGTCCTCACAGCCGACCTGCTGCACCCTACTGGTCACGAATTCTCACTAGAACCCCAGGTAACTACCTACCTGAATAGGGCAAGTCGCTAGTGATCCCTTTTTCTAGGATTTAGGTCGTTTATGCAGTTATTGTGACTTCAACTGGAATATACGGTGAGAGATGGGTATATCTGTGACCATTCAATTCATGCGCAGTAAGCAAATAACTATAGAACATTGCTTAAGAAATTCCGCTAGTATAGAGACTACATATTGTCAATAGATAGAAATTAGCTGATAGCCCTTTTATACTAGATTTATTGAGTAATTCTACTAAAGAAGGTGTGGCTTACACAGCAAAACGTTCAGAAAAATATTCTTTTGATTTTTAAACACATTGGGATTATTTTGACTTGACACTAATAGCTAGTGTGATGTATCTTGTCCTTTCTTTGATGCAGACTGAATTCTATCAGTCAGATTTGCAATGTGACCACCACTCTAGGTAGCTCACCATCATGGTGTACATTGATTTGATGATATTAAATAGTGGGAGGAGATAGGCTACAGGAAGCCTTGGACCTATGTTTCGTCTTAGTTGCCATCTACCAGTCAGCATGGCGTATTTGCAACCTTGAAGGAACTCATGTTCCTTCTGAGATTTGAACCCGTGTCAAAGTATCCACTACAGCCCTACAGGAGATCAACCGCGAGCCCGAATAGCTCAATGGTAACGTCTCTGACTACAGCACTGGTTGACGCGGGTTCGGATCTCAGAAGGAACATGAGTTCCCTCAAGGTTGCAGATACGCCTTGATGACTGGCGGGTGCCAACTAGCACGAAACCGATCGCCAACAACCATCTAATATCTCCAAACACTGGGAATATTTTAAATCATTCATAATAGATTAATTGGTAGGTAAAAATTTTATTTTAATGGCAGTGCGGATTTTACTAACTGAGAATGTGAATAATTGCGTGCACTGCTTCATACTCACTTGGTAAAAATGCATTCAACTGGTAAATAGTACAGTTTCGGTAGAAATCATGTCAATAACTGAGGTATGGGAAAATGTTTTGATAATATAAAAACCACAAGAAAAGGAAAAAGATAGAAGGATACCTCACGTAGAAGAGAGTATTTATTCTGCTCAAATTAAAATTCGAATATTTTATCAGTAATGAACCTATTTTTGAGTAGTCAACAAATCGTTTCACTGTCTCTGCTGTTTTTGTTCTCATCTGGAATAATGCAAGAAAAAATAAGGGGGAAGACTAGGAAAAAAGCGGTCAAGAACATACTCTTTTTTCGGAAGATACCTCTTAAAGCTTTTCTAAAATCACTTCTATGACCAGTAACAAATAGAGATTTGCTAAAATCAAGCTAGGAATATACTTTGTTTTCCCTTGAATGCTGATGTAGAGCCAGTTATATCAGATGTACGGTTAAGCTTATCCATTATCGTATTTCCAAACATCAGCTTGCATAGTTAAATAATAGGCAAACAAAGTCTATTCTTATCTCTTTTTTAAAACACCTTATTCGTCTTTGACATGCATCTGAAGCTCTCGAAACCCACCGGATGAAACCGATCTTGGGGGCGTAGAAGGAGTTCGTACAACCACTTTCTTTATCCCTATCATCACTACAGAAATTTAAAAATTGATATCATTATAGGCTGACATCAGTTAGAAAACCATTGGAAAACCTGGGAAGAGTCTCAAACCAGGATGAAACAGCTGTCTGTTACTCCCAAGTTCTCCAATGATTCTCTAACTGATGTCAGCTTATGATGATTTCCTCCATCCAATCAGACAAAAAATCCCTACAAAACCAATACTTGAAAATTAATCTGATGCTCACTAGCGACTGGCCCTATTCAGGTAGTTAACCTGGGCTTCTAGTGGGGAGCCGTGACCAGTAGGGTGTAGTAGATTGAAGGTGAGGTAGTAACTCATCGAAGAAGACATTGCGAAGTGGTCGAGCTATGTCATGAATTGGCAGAAATTAGAATCCATAGGCCATCGAATGGGGTCCCAGTGGCTTAATGGTCTACGAGCTAGCTCACCTTGTAACCAGAAGGTCCTGGGTTCGAGCTAGGATGGTGAGTGAGTACTGATGAAGAGTCCCAAACAAGGACGGAGGAAACAGCGGCCCAGTACTCTCAGGTTTTCCAATGGTTCTTTAACCAATGTCGGTTCATGTTGAAATCCTGTAACCAGTCAATCAAATCCCTACAAACCAATACTTGAAAATTAAACAGCAATGATTTCCTCTTATGCCATTCATAAATTATTCTTATTATTAGTTTAGCTAGCTTAATAATCTACTTACTTCACTTTTAATTGTTCTTATGTAATTGATTCCAATAATTTGACCACTTGTTTCTTCTTCTTGTCTTTCAACGTATTAATTCTGCATTATTCAGCAACTTGTTTTAATTTTCACTAATATTTTTACCTTTTATCTGGTTGACGGTAATTAGTAGAGGTATACAGGATGTGTTTTTTGTCTTGTTTGTAACCCATTATATGGATGTACCTGCAACCCAAGAGAATGATGGAATTCTCACTTAAACTTCAACCTTTTATTGTTGTGCAAATTTTCTTGTTTAGTTAACACCACTTTGGTATCCTGATATCAGCCAGTTATTACTAAAAAACATATCACCAATAAATTTGTTAACTACGTATTGTAACAGAAATATTATGCATATTGGATTAAAGGTATTGATTAGGATCTAGTGGGAAAAAGTAAGTATTTCTTCGCTCAATTTGTTACGCTTGCAACATTACTCAGGCACAATCAAAAACACTTTGCCTTCTAGCCGTCGTACGTTAGAGCTACTGAAGTACATGCTTCATATATAATCATATTATGGATACACAGTTAATACGTTTAAACCTCATAAATCATCAGAACAGAACCTCTTAACTAATCCATCGTAAAATGCTGTAATACATTTTATACTACTAATGAGTAGAATGAATAACAGTCCAATATATTCTGGAGTTAACCAACAACAACGACAGCAGCAACGTCCAGCGCCAATCACCATCAACGGGAGGGATTTGAAAGGGGTTACTTCATCCACTCACTGATCTAGGGAGCATTGTCTCAACTACAGGCAGTCGGAACGGACGACGATGTCAAATCGAGTGAGAATTGGGAAGGCGAGCGAGAAACACATTCATCAACCTGACATCAATCTGGAAATCTTCGTCACTCAGCATCAACAACAAAATTCAGTCGGATTTTCAATACAAACAACGTCAAGTCAGTTAGTTCTTCCATACGGATCAGAAACTTGGCGGGCGGGTCACAAACAATATTTCCAGCAGCCAGTTGCAGACCTTTATCGGCAACTGTCTTCGCTCTATGCTGAAGATCAGATGGCCGGGCCGGAAAGAATCACCAACAAGAAATTATGGGCACAAACAAAATTAAGTAAGCTGTTCAGCTTCAACTTTTTCTAACTTCCGTAATAGTAAACATGTGACAGTGCTGAACACTTGCACTGTTAAATTAATTTCTATATATAGAACTTAGGTTCCACTGATTCACTCATAAATGACTTAAAGATCTAAACAAGTGTCCAGTTGTATCTGAAGAGATGACACACATAAGAAAATGTTTCAGATTTTTCTAGTATACTGAGTGTTTGTAAATGTTTTGGCGGAGTTTGTATTTTCGCCTAATACTTGAAAAGTTTTAAGCAGCTGACGGTAGTTTTTACAAAATTTTGAAAAATTAAGTATATAAACATTTATAGTTATAATATGCTTCAAATGACAGTCAGTTAAGGTCATAGAAAACTTAAAGTAGATATTCCTAGTCGATGTTTGTATTTTTTCATCTTATAGATGCTACTACTACTCATGATTTCTTCATTCTGAACATAACGCAAATGATTCTGTCGACTAGAAAGATACTTTTGTGTTACGTACTTAGCACTAGAATACTCTAAATTCTTTATTACTTAAAAAAATTCTGTAGGAGCTCGAAACTTTGAGAAATCAGAGTATCAGATCACATTATATCACTTTATTTATGAATCTGTGTACTCAGTATGATGAACAGACTAGATATTTTTCAATGTATAACAATTCTTTGACTAATACTTGATACTTTACTTTCGTCTTATTTTCAGTCCATCCATCATGGTCACTTTGGTCCCCATGGTCATCATGTTCATCAGACTGTGGTTCTGGATTACGTTCACGTGTACGAAGATGTGATAGTCCACAGCCTATACAACAACAAATAAAAATCAATAATCAGGTGACTAGAAAACTCATCACTTGTAAACACACTTACGATATTACAACAGATTCAACTCTTCACGCACCAGAAGTTGAAGTACAAGCGGAACATTGTCAACAACAGAATCCAGCTTGTAATGACAGTGAGTAATCTCTTTGTTTTGATAATCAGAGTTAAGACTTTTATCGTATTTTACTTGAAGCTGATGAAGAGAAATATTATTTGAGTTACTATTATTATTATTCCCTTGCGTTCCGAGTGAAACATTGCGCACTGTTCTGTTTTATGCCATCCTCTTCAGCTTGGTCCACGACTAACTCATCTCTTCTTCACAAGACCTCCTGCATATCACCCTCGCACTGACGACCCATTCGTCGCTTCCTATTCGGATTCCACACGAGGGCCTGACGTGCGATGTCATTTGGCGGCCTCCTCAATGTATACCCAATCCATCTGCATTTTCTCCTACATATTTGCTGAGCTATCGGCTCTTGGTTGGTTTGTTCCCATAGTTTCTTGTTGGTTATTCTTTCTACCTGGCCATTCGATCTTAAATATAGAGCCAACGAGGTGGGAAGCTTCTTACGTCAACTGTAATTCCATTGATCTTACTCAACAAATCGATAGTATTTAAAAAAAACACCAATATTGCTAATGACTATTATTCTAGAATATTCTATGTCATTAAAGATATATATATATAATTGTAGAGTTAGAAGAGGAAATTATCGAAAAGGATATCCTTTGCTTAATTATTTTGTTTTTTTTTTTCTAGATGTCTGAATGAATATTTTCGTTACATTAAAATCAAACATGTTATCAAACAGCTTAACCAGTGAAATGATGACCTAGTTAGGTCTTGCATCTCAGCTAGTAAGGCACCAGATAGATGGTTTTTAGATCATTGATTCATATCCTGCTTCAATTAGATTTTCATTTTACCTTCAATTATCATCGAGTACATCATTCAGATCCCTTACTTTTTTCTTTAACACAATTGATTTTTTTATCAATAGAAATGGCATCGTCTTCTATATCTGAAACTCGAGTATATAAAACTGGCGAAATTCTCTTGAAATGGAGTAATTGGAATGACTGTTCAACAAAGTGTGGTTATGGAATACAAACACGTCGTCTGCTCTGTACAACAATTCAAGATAAATGGCAAGAAGGTAACACATCGCACTGTACAGTGGTAAATTCTGACATGATAGACAATAGAATATGCCAAAAGTTTATTTGTCAAAGTAAGTGATTTTGTACTGAGTCAACTTTTGTCAATTATTGTAACAGTACACCTTCAAAATGGTTGTACACACATATTATTGAGAGAGATTGCAACGAATCGCCTTCAATCCAATTTCAACAGCTGTGTCGCACGTTACTTACTAATATTTCTGACGAATGTGTCTTGTTGCTTTTCTCTTTTCTAAAAAGGTAACTAGCAAATTAGAACTTATTCTTATGTGATAAGCTGTCTACAAATAAATAATGATTTCAGATTCTTGACAAGTACTTTAAATTGATTACTGCCTTATTTGGTCACCCTTAGGTATTTTCCCCATTTTTAAACAACGTTAGTAAAAGAATTGATTGGGTGGAGGATTTCATCATGAGCTGACATTAGTTAGAGAACGACTGGAAAGCCTGGGAGTACTGGACAGCTGTTTCGTCCTAGTTTTGAACTCTTAAGCAGTACACACCCACCTAGGTTCCAACTCAGGACCTTCTGGTTACAAGGCGAGCTCGTAGGCCACTGAGCCGCTGGGACCCGATCCAATTGCCAACCCGTGAACTCTTACTTCTGCCAATTCACGACATAGCGCTACCATTTCGCAATGTCTTCTTTCATCCTCCATCCAATCAAACTAAATCCCTTCAAAACCAATACTTGAAAATAAGAGAATTATCAAACCTGAAATTTGGATTCCTCATCTAGGCGAAAATTTTATGATCTTCAAAACAGCTGAATCAGGGAAATGTCACCTTCATCAGTCAAAGTTATGGTAACTCAAGTCCACAAAAATAAGGACGGAAGGATGGAGTTGTTCCTCTGAAAGTCCCTATCAGTACACAATAAAAACTAAACTTTGCAATCAAAAGTACAGAGAAGTAACATACACAGATTAAATTTTCAATTATGCGAACAAAACGTTTAGCATCTCAATAGAAGGCCTTCTACAAACACTTTTCAGTAGCACCAAGGCTCAACGCATTACTGTTGTAATTGGGGAAGTTAAAACGACACCAACTTTTGACGTCTTCAAGTCCAACCTTTATTTTATTTGAAATCAATAAGGTTTTGCAAAAAGAACACAGTTCTGGACAGTCACGCTAACCGCTAACACGGATCACATTACTACATATTAGAAATTTTTAGAACCTATTTGTCATACTTTTCTGACGTTATGTATCAGTATGACTCATATTCTAAGTAAATCACTATAGAATGTTCGATTCACGATGATAGAAGACAGTATAAATACAGTATTATTATTCACTAAGGTTCCTAGTGGAACATAGAGCTTCAAAAGTACGTCTCCACCTTATTCCGTCCTCTGCAATCTTTTTCAGCTGTCCCTACTATTCTCCATAAGCTTTCCTTTCCTCCTTACACGATCTCTGTAGTAATTTATTGTACTTGAAGTATTAGTATTTCGATCTGACGGAATTAACGAATGAAACCAAAACTCAGAGAGGGCAGCAATCCGGAATTTGTATTTAGCGGAATTCGAATGCAATTCATATATGAAACATATCAACAGTCAACAGTAAGTATTTTAAACAATACAGAGATAGAAATTGTCAATCACCACATCCGCCACACCTCGAATATCTCCTCGCGTATTTATAACGATGTCTCGGTTTGCTTGCAAGTAGCTTCGAGCTAACTGATTCTGTGATATTATTTTCATCAGTATTATCTGGACTTATTTCTGAATTATCTACAAAATCAGGATTATTAGCGGAATCAATAATATTATAATTGGAACGACCTACTTCATTTATTGTCACTTTGTCCAGGTGTCCGTTATGAACTGAGTGATCTTTGATGTCTAATATCTTCACCACTCGATTTCCCATTTTTTGTAGTATAATTCCAACAGAAGGTCTGTAGTTATTATCTTTGTAATAATGTACATTAGAAGTCGTGGACATCAGATGCTTTTTGAGAATTCGAGATTTGAATAGTTTTGCAGGACTTTCACAAGAACTTGTATGCTCTGGATTCACCAGACGTAGTCTATGCATATGCAGTAATTCCTCAATTTTATTCAGTTGCTCTCTCATCTCATTCAGGTCTTTTCGTGCTTTCGACAGTTCACATTGCAACTCAGCTACCTCATTTTTGAATACAGTTGATACTTGCGTTGCTGAACTTGCAGTGGAGGTTTTCGTTGGATTAGCTTGAGTATTTTGAAAAGTTGAAAGACACATAGACTCCATTTTACTAGACAGCTTGGGAGAATTATAAGAATGTTGAGCAACATAAGTATTCGAACTTCTGCAAACCGTCTTGATGTGTCCAACTTTACCACATTTATAGCACTTAGCACTCCGAAAACGGCAAGTGCTTCGTAGATGTAACTTTCCACAGGATAAACACGGTTTAATGTTTTTGATCTCTCGCTGCATTCTATTACCTGTGGACGGCAGTTTGGATTTCTTTCCATGAACACTTGTATTTTCGACTTTGGACAGCATGACATCAGATACTGACGTAGTGGGAGCAGAGTATTCATTATTGACATCTTCATATGTAATACATACCTCTTTAGCAGTTTGAAACGTACAAGAAGGAATCTGAATTAACTCCTTCTCTAATTTAGGAATGTTGATTCCAGCAATTAGACGATCACGTAGTTGTGTATGCAGCTGATCTCCAAAATTACACTTTGAGGCTTGAATTTGGAGTTGAAGAATAAAGTCTCTTATCTTCTGATTGGGAGAACGTACCAGTTTGTTGAACTGAGCCCTCTCTCTGGTCTCAAAAGTAGTTACATGGAAGTGATCTATAAGAAGTTCACGGAGCTTAGCATATGGCATAGAAATGGGTTTATCTGGAAACGCCAGATTCTTCACCAGGCTATATGCATCAAGACCAATAGCGGTGATGAAATGAGCAGGTATTTTATCATCCCGAACATTCTTGGAAATGCACCACGCATCAAAGCATTCCAAATAATCAGCAATCTCCCGCGGAGAACCATTAAGAGGAAATTTTCCCAGGTTACTTAGCTCCATCGCGACGCCAATTTGTAGTAATTTATTGTACTTGAAGTATTAGTATTTCGATCTGACGGAATTAACGAATGAAACCAAAACTCAGAGAGGGCAGCAATCCGGAATTTGTATTTAGCGGAATTAGAATGCAATTCATATATGAAACATATCAACAGTCAACAGTAAGTATTTTAAACAATACAGAGATAGAAATTGTCAATCACCACAATCTCCTTCGTGTCGCCCTCGGACACCCACTTCGTCGTTTATTATTCGGGTTTCACTCGAGTGTGACTTGTAATGTCACTCGACGGTCTCCTCAACGTATATCCAATCCATCCTAATTTTCTCCTGGATGATAGGCTCTTGGTTGGTTCGTTCCCGGAGTTCATTGTGGCTAATTCTTCTTGGATGTCTGACCTCTAGTATGGAGTCAGCGGAGGCAGCTGTTAATGAGAGTTTAAAGCTATTTCAAAAGGCTTTTTGTGACGCTAGTGACAAGACTCTGAACCATACAGAAGCACTGACTTTACATTGGTATTGTGTATCCGGATATTGTTCCTTATTATGAGTGCAGTAAATTTCCACACTGCTCTCAGAGTAACGAAACCCTGTCTTGCTTTTACGACACTGGTTGGCTTTAACATCGTCATCCATGTTGTTGCCTGTAGTTGAAACGATGCTACCCAAGTAAAGAAAAAAAGCCGACTTCCCTTAGATTCCACCTGCTGATGGTAATGAATGTCTTTGGTTAATAGCCAGTTATCTTCACCACCTCTTTATTCTTTATTTTCACTTGAAGTCCTGCCTTTACAGCCTTGTCTGCAAATTTAATTGCGAATGTCGTAAATAGTCATTTGGAAATACATAGAATTCATCGTAACCCACCAGTAGTCGATTGATACGATATATTTTTGTATATAACTCTGGTGCTTAAGCACAGTCGTAACTTCAATAGTGACATTGTAAGAGAAGTACTACAACATTAAAGCCTTAAAACTAAAGATGAATTTCGGGAAAATGGCAATCACCAACTATATAGTCATTAACCCAACCTATATTATGATTATAAACACACCAGTACACTTGTAGCCAATCAAACAGGCCAAATTCGGTTCATCGAAAGTGTATACACAGTTAGCTAAATCAGGGTCAAAAAAGGAAAATCATCCCTCGCTGTCTAACATCAAATAATTTATAGGATTGTACAAAGTTCACTACATATATGTTGATATAACCTAAGACGGTTTTCTCCCTTATGAGGTGAATGCTACTTGAGTCACCCTGTTCTAAGCTAAACTATTCACAAGTAAAGTATCAAAATTTTTAGAGGAAATGAAACTTTTATCACGTTTATTTCAAAGTATCATTTCGTCTAGACTATTTGAACCTTACTTTTTATCATTAATTATCATTTGCAGGTGAGATTGTGCATTCAGAGTGGACACCATGGTTAAAAGCATTGCCAACTAACCCACATGTACTAAGGTATCCAGCATTTCCTGGCAGATCAAATCCACAAATCTATTATGAACAGCGTTTTCGATATTATTGCAGTGTTCCAGTTGAGGCATCTGAAAACTTACAAATTGTACGAACACAAATTGTTGAAAGAAAGTGTCTGACTATTGACCAGAAGTGTTCTAGTTTATCAAGTAAGTTGTTGCCTACATTTGTTTTTCTCTTTTTCCTATCCCTCCATGATTCTGAAAAGAATTCACAACAGGTAGACAATTTCAGATTTACTTTTTTTGCTGTGTAAATCACAACTAAAGATTCTAATTGCTTTCCTGATTCTCATGTTGTTCATCTACCCCCTAATTATCATATTGGTTGATTTTATACCTTGTAGTTTGTAAGTATTTTCTGTCACAATGTATATTCTCGTGCATTTAAGTGGGAACCACTGCACTGTAATGAATGGGACTCATCTATCTGTATTATCTTTCTTAGAGGTCGAAAATTTAATGGAAGTATGCTATATTACTATATACGCTTTTGTAAGTAGCACTGCATTAAACCACTACAAAATTCCAGCACTAGTGTTTATTATCTCAATAAGAAAACTGATAACATTAATGTGTATTATCATATGTATTCGTTAATTGCGCGTATTACTCAGCAATAAATATGAAATCACAATGAAAGTATCGTATCCGTTTGCTTAACTATTCATTATTATTTTCAATACTAACTTCACATAATGATGCCAGTTAGAGAATCACTGGAAATCTAGGAAGTGATTGGTTCAGATGAGAAGTCGTGGTTGATAGAGTCATAATGGCAGGGTGAAGTACATGTTCATTGATGGTAGTAGTTAGTTGTGCCGATATACTGTGAATTAACAGGAGTCACTGAATTTCAACCCTGTGTCGTCAATGAGCTGACCCTATAACCTACAGATCCTAGCTAGACCCCCGACATGATCATAAGTGCGCACCACTGAAGACCGCCAAATTAGCATGAAACAACTGTTGTGTGCTTCGTGGTTTCGAATGATTCTCCAGCGGATGTCAGTTCATGATCTGAAACTAACCAAACCAACTGGTTAACACTATTGTAGATAGACATATTATATCATGTAAGAAACTAGCGAATACAATATTGTCGGACCCCGAGCATCCTCTCTATACGCAGCTGTCTCCTTGCATTTCATCTGGTAGGACTAGAAGCAGCTATAGGCGGCTATATGCTAGGACTACCAAATACAAAAACTCCACAATACCATATCTGGCACAGCTGTTATGTGATGAGAAATCCGTTAGGTATGACACGATAAACTTACTACGGCACTCTAACAAATAGTCCCATAAGTTTTTGTTTTCCTTGCCTCATTACTATTACACTGTTGTTCTCATCTTCTATCACACACACATCAACTTTATACTTCATATCCTCTGGTGCATTGTTTGAAATGAAATACTCTACGCTGTTTGTTTTTTATTTTATTTATCTTTTATTTTCTTTGGGGTTGGTTTTTATTTATTTAATTTTTTGATTTTAAAAATCTTATATAATTTATGAGGTAATTAGATGCAATATACTGTAATGCACGCTGAAAATTCCATACCTGTACCACAAATACCGTTTGGAATAAATCTGTTATTATTATTATCATTATTCAAAATGTCTCCAAACCTTAAAATCTGAGTTTTCACTACTAACCAAGTTTAAGGAAAAACAATAGCTATAGATAGATCTGAAAAATTAGACTTCATTGTATGCTCATTTTTAGTTGGAGCAGTTCTCGGGTATTCACTACTCTGTTGACAGTTACCTTAATTTAATAAACTATTTCTTATTTATATTAAAACACAAACTTGGCACATTATTGGCACCAAGAGATGTACCACACAAAATCTCACAAGTTTGTATGAGAGCTGAAACAGGTGGTTATCTTAAGAGGCCAACCCCCCCCTGAAGCTCTGAGCTTGAAGTCTGATCAACAAGACAGTGGACTGGTTTCAGGGGCAATATTCCCATGGTTTCCGGTAACCAAAACAAGTTCATAGGTCATTCAACCCAACAGGAATCTGGAGCTTATGTACACCATGAGTTCGGAATCAGGGCTTTCCAGCTTCCCTAGGTAGACCTGAGTGTTCACCGGTCCGGTTGTGGGCCCCAGACGTACTCATTCGTTCATTCACTTTTGTGAGAGGAACCTTCACCACGTTAAGGCAGCATCTCTAGAAGACTGAAGTCTACCTGCCCTCATCCGTACTAGGTCGTTTATGAAGGCTAAAATAATAAATAGCTTACTGCGAAAAATACTTACAGTTCTACCTCTGAGTGGTTAGAAATTTTCCTACGGAGGGAGACTTATCTATTTTCAAGAAAAATTCAGTGTAATATGAATGTTTCCCTAGAGAAGACAACGAAATATTTAGGACCAAAAAAGTAACTGTCTCTAGGTAAATCATCTTAGTAAAAGTAGTAGAGACTTGTTCCCATCAACCGTTTAACTCGACTTAAACAACACTTCTTGTAGTGGAAATACATCGCTGTACTTTGTCATTCTCTGTGAGATCTGTTAAACGTATTCACTTTTGATGAGATATATTCTGAGCTCCACATTTCACAACTTAGTATATTACCGTATGTATGAATGACCACATATGTATAAATCAAGATGTAGTATTGCATACCGATTACTGTATGAATCACCTTTACCACTTTCACCTTAACTATAGATCGATTCCCTAAGACTGTTGCCTAAATTTACCATTTGAAACCAAAGAAGTCAAAGCTATTGAAAGTGTTTTAGTTTAAAAAGAAGGAAGTATGCAATAAGGCAGTCTGCACTAAACACTGAATAGCCAAAGGTGAATTTCATTGATCAGTCACTAAAAAGTGAAGCTCATTCATCACAAAATAAATGTTGAATCTGATTAATTGAAATGCTTAACAGTATATCTGCTTGTAATAACATAATGAGAAGTAGTAATAATCTAAAAATTGAAGAAAATCATGCTAGCTTTCTCAAGTTGTATCGTTTTGCTAGTGACATAAGCTAAATAGTACTAACCTTTAATTAATCACATTTTTAGACATAATCAGCAATCAAATTGGTGAAGAGAACAGAGTACTTTCAGATTCAATGGAAATATCGCCTGATCCAATCTGGTCAGTATGGAGTAAATGGTCTGAATGTAGTCAAGACTGTATCCCGGTAGAAAGCATAACTTTATCTGATCAATTGGATATACAACACATAAAATCCTCAAACACTTTTCTGTACACTTCCAATGAATATCAATTTCGAACACGTAAATGTCTATCGAGTAAGTGTTCACAAAACAATCGTTTTGAGACCAGTATTGATATACGTAAGTGCCCACCGAAACCAGCATGTAAAAGCGGCTGGTCATGTTGGTCTGATTGGTCAAGTTGTTCCCCTGTTAAACTCAATCATATTGATGGAAGGCGAAAATGTCACTGGCGTAAAGATGGAGGTAGATCGGTTCGTACAAGGACATGCATTTTAACACAATATGATCAAAATCCAGGTGCACAAAAGCTAGTTTGCGACGGTTACGCACAGATGAAAAAAGAATGTGCTTGGTTTGATAATGACCAAAGAGAATGCTCTATGAGTAAGTATAAATATTTGTACTTTTAAAATTAGTGTTAAATAAACCTGTAAGAATCTGCAGTTCCAGTGCTCCTAAAAGTATGTTACTGAAGTCGATTCGAATTCTAAGAGGAGTTATTTTATTTACCTAAGTCACGTTCCGGCTTTCTCACTACCTGAAAGCACTCAGAGAGATGAAGTTGCAAGTCTAGTACCACAACATAACCTAACTCTTATCAATTGACTATGAGTGACTTATAAATCTAGTTGCATTCTTACCTGAGTTTTTTCCCTCTGTGGATCGTATTCAGAAATTATCTGTGACTTTAGGGAGAAGTAAAGACTTTAGCAACTATAATTGGTACATTTGACTGAGTCACTGAAGTTTGCTGTAAAACTATAAGAATTAACTACCAAAATAAGAAAATTATATGCATCAACTTAGATTTCGTCAGGAAATGACATCACCTGAAAATCATTGGAAACCGGAAATCGACGAACTGCTGTTCATACATAGTTTGGGACTATGTAACAATGAGCACCCATAATTCCATCAAGGATTGTATCCAGGATTTCAACTGACCAACTGAGTACTTTTGCGATTCATTTTCTTCTCAAGAATCCTTTATTATATTGAATGTGACTTTATCACTTTTCAACAAAGTGTGTTTCATTCCTTATTTCTCTCTCTCCCTGGTTCTCCATACTCTTCTCTCTTATACTCTGCAGCTAAGTAGACTTGCAACTTCTTTAGGTTGATTTTTGAAATGAGTACAGAACTCAGTAACCATTGCTTTAAACGCAACAAGATAACTGAAAATGCTGTTTAATCTGCAATGGTTGTTAACTTGATTTTCCCTCCTCATTAACGTAATAAATAACTGTGCTGAATGCAGATTAGTGGGTATTAATTCCAGGTATCATTTGGAACACATCCACTGACCAATACGCAGATGCAATTCAGATTGAGACCATAGTGTTGTGTACTGGATGACTTTTGAGAACTGTCTCATGCTCAAAATGTTATCAAGCAAGATTTGGATTATTTTCCCTTTATCTTAACAACGAAGATATCATTGTCAATGTGTATTTATCATTTCTAAAAACAATACGGCGCAATCGGTAGGAAGAAATGAGTAAATATCGATCTTGGAAATTGAACACTGAAATAATGTCAGGTTTTGAAGGAGGTGGTGATAGCTGCCTGTAAGACAAAATTGGAGACAGCAATGGAGACGCCAATGTTTACGCCCCAAATTGGAGTCATGAGAAAAAACAAAAACAAAGGCAAACCTTGAGGAACTCAACAACCAATCACAGCAGACTTAACGAGTGCAAATACGATTCGAAGATATATGGATAACTTTGTAAGCGACGGTCACAAGCAGTGCATAATAACTTTCAGCAAAAAAACGGCCAATCAGAAGACGTTTCTTCTCTGATAAAAATAACGCTAATAATAATGTACATAAAAATCTATAAATATCTGTTGATTTTCTTCATAAACGATCTGTTACCTGACCCTTGTCTTCTGTCGTTACAAGGATATAACTATCAGGCTTTTATGAAATACAAGATGTAGCTACAGGATTTCAACATGAGCTGATATTAGTTAGAGAACCGTTGGGAAACAGCTATCCAGTACTCTCAGGTTTTCCAATGGTTCTCTAACTAATGTCAGCTCATGATGAAATCCTGTAACCAGTCAAATTCCTACAAACCAACACTTGAACAAGATGTAGCGTTAGAGAAATTACTTTCACCTAGTGATTGATGTCTGTTAAAAAAATTTTTAATCTAAATATTGAATATTTATGAGTGACTTATCCATTCATTTATGAATGCGGGAAATAGCATTTTCCAGTTAACTGAGCTTTTCTAAATACAGCTTCATGAATAAAGAATAATATATATCTCAGTGATGACTGATAGCAACAGTACAAAGTTAAATTTCGTGGAACTCCTGAATGAAGGAAAATCTTGACCTGTATTTCTATTCGGGTTGTGTACCAACAACAATTCTTCTTTCGTACTACATCACACAAATAATAAGATTTAGGAAATACGTTGTTAGAACAATCTTACCTGACCTCGCATTACTGTTAAAATAATAAACTGATGAATGAGGGTGCTATTAAAATGTGGAGCAGCGACTGCTAGATTATATAACTAATGCTCAGCTGTGTTAAGGGATCCAGCTGCAGACTTCTCCTTTATTTCACTTCAGTACCAAATGATACGGAATGATCTGTCAAGAGTAGCAAAAACACTTTTTTTCATGATAATTTCAACATTTGAACCCCAATATTTGTTCGTATGATATATTTCCGGAACGAACTTAAAATCTTTTAATAATGCTGACTAAAGTCATTATTTTTCTATACCGTAAGAAGTTATTTCTTTCAGTTATTTTTCTCCAATGAATTTTTAGTTTCGTACTATTCGTTCTGGTACATAAACGGTAATTAATTGTTTCCATGTAGTGGGGATTTGAACAAGTGTTATTTCTGCATATTGCATGGGGGATTTCATCATGAACTGACATCAGTTAGAGAACCACTGGAAAACCTGTGAGTACTGGACAGCTGTTTTATCCTAGTTTGTGACTCATAGGCAGTACGCACCTACCTAGGTTCGAACCCAGGACCTTCTGGTTACAAGGCGAGCTAGCTCGTAGACCATTGAGCCACTGGGACGCGATGCAGTGGTCCTTGAATTCTAACTTCTGCCAATTCACGATATAGCGCGACTATTTCGAATGTCTTCTTCGATGAGTTACTGCCTCATCTTCAACCCGCTGAACCCTACTGGTTATGACTTCCCACTAGTGGCTTATGATGAAATCCTCCATGCAATTAAACAAAATCCCCACAAAACCAATACTTGAAAAATTTCTGCATATACCTACTTTTCACTCATTGCCCAATGTGTGTGCGATAATTCTGTTAAATCTTGATCGGAGTTCATCTAAGTTGCTGCTACACTGTTTTAATCCTGTTCATATCGTGATTACTCTAATCTACATGTTTGACCTATATATTTTTTAGTGAATTTAACCAGTATATATAAAGATATTCCGATTGATGTGAATACAAATTACTACAAAACTTCAGTATGGAGTAGTTGGTCTTCCTGGTCATCATGTGGTCAAGCAGAAATATCAAAAGATAGTCAAGATAAATTTGAATCATCCAGGAATTCTATGGATCCAACAAATCCACACTTATTAGCTACACGAACAAGAAAATGTGAATTGGTCAGTGTTAATACTGATGAACTATATACAGCGCATACTCGTAGAACAGTTTGTTCTGGTTCATCGAATCAAATGAAAACTTGTCCAAATTTAGCTTTAAATATTGCAGAAGGTACGTTAAATTAATTCGACTGGTCTATATGCATTACGCATTGCTATATTATTTATAATTCTTCCCTTCAGTTCCAAGTGGGACTTAGATATTCACCAGCACATCTCCATTCCATTCGATTCTCTGCTATCATTCACAAATAGACACTAGAACTGTCAAAGATATTTCGTTTTCTATTCACATGACCTCCATATAACCCTTGGAAGCATAAGGATCCTTTCCTACCCGGGTTCCAATAGAGAACCTGACGAGTGACGTCACTTGAATGTTTCCTTAGCTTATGTCTGTTCCATCTCCATTTTCCTCTGCATCTTTGAGGAGTATTAAATGGGTTTTTGGCCGGTTCAACGCCTGTCACAGTTCCTTGAAGCCTGTTCTTTCCGACTGGTCGGCCGGTGATCTGATCTTGAGAAACAAACCAAAGGATGCAGGTGTTGATTATTACGCCTACTATTAAATTACCTTTCCATTGATGTCAGACGGTTGGAGGTAATCGGCCACAGGAAGCTTTGGACCTAGGTTTCGAGCTGGTTGCCAACCACCAGTCATCAAGGCGTATCTGCAACCTTGAAGGAACTCATGTCCCTTCTGAGATTCTAACCCGCGTCACCCAGCACTGCAGTCAGAGACGTTACCACTGAGCTACTCAGGCTCGCGACTGACCTCCTGTAGGACTGTATTGGATATTTTTCATTGCATACTAGTCAGTAACTAGTGTAATGTGTCTAGTCTTATTTTCACTGCAGACTGAATTCTACCAGTCAAGCATGCAATGTGGCCACCATGCTAGGTGGCTCGCCATTACGATGCACTGTGAATTGTTGGTAGCCACATTGCAAACTTGACTAATAGAATTCAGTCTGCAGTGAAGATAAGACTAGACACATTACACTAGTTACTGACTAGTGTGCAATCAAAAAATATCCAATACAGTCCTACAGGAGGTCAATCGCAAGCCTGAATAGCTCAGTAGTAACGTCTCTGACTACACCACTGGGTGACGCAGGTTAGAATCTCAGAAGGGACATAAGTTCCTTCAGGGTTGCAGATACGCCTTGATGACTGGTGAGTGCCAACTATCACGAAACCTGGCGGGAGCAAGGCTTCCTGTGGCCGATCGCCTCCAACCATCTGATACCAACAATTCACAGTGCATCGTCTGTCTGTTTTCGACACAGAACTTTGCACAAATGTGCGGAAGTTCAAGTCGCCACACTCCGTGTAGCACGCGAAGCAAGAGAAGAAAGTACAAGAAAAGCATAATAGAAACAGTGAGCAGAGGTGTGAGACAAAGGAGTAATAAAGAAAAAGAAAACAGTTTCATTGGAGATCATAAGTCACAAGGAGTGGATGCATCTGCGCCACTGAGAACGATTTTGAGTCATGTCACCAATTGTTTCCAACCATAGATTTTTACCGTCCCGAGGACCCCAACCAGTCAGGAAGTCTACACCTTCCTATGTGGCTGGCTTAGACCAACTGTTGTGGATTTCATTGACTGGTTAGGCCATGTTTTGGTTTGACCGCCTCTAGCTTTTTTCCAGCCTGACCCTATATCCGCTAACATTGCTCCTCGAGGGAGGCGATGGCTTGGCATACGTAACACATGTCCTAACCATCTCAGTCTTTGTAACTTTACGACTTCGTCGATTGATTTTCCCTGTTTACCTAGAACTCGACGCCTAACCTCAATGTTGCTCACCTTATTATACCACTTTACACGGGAAATAGAGCGCAGGCACCTATGATCAAAGACAGCTAGTCTTTTCATGTCTTCCACTCTGAGTGGCCAGGTCTCACAACCATAAAGGAGGACGGAGCGGACTGATGAGCAGTACACCCGCCCTTTGGTCGATAGTCGAACATCTCGTCTACGCCAGAGACGGCGTAAACTGGCAAATGCGAGATGAGCCCCCTGTATCCGTGCTGAGATTTCGTCAGAGATCAGCCCGTTGGGGCTGATGGTACTTCCCAAATAAGTGAAGTGGTCAACGTGCTTTACCACTTCACTTCCTATTTTTAAACTAGGCGTCGATGTAATGGTGAGCCACCTAGCATGGTGGCCACATTGCATGCTTGACTGGTAGAATGCAGTCTGCAGTGAAGATAAGACTAGACACATTACACTAGTTACTGACTAGTGTGCAATCAAAAATACCTTTTCCACTGTTAGGCCTGAAGACTGTCCAAACTATACATGATTCACAGTATGCTTCATTATTCAAATGTCTCACTAAACTGTTCGTGTTGAAACCGGGGTTCTGCACATAAGCAGATGTGATGAAGAATATATGTACAAGTATTACCAGTCATTTCCAGATGTCAAACTTTGAATTCCATGTAGTGTAAAGCTGTGTTAGTCTGACTAGTGGCTAGAAAATATAAAATGACAGAGAAGCATATTGACAACCACGGCTAGGCAAACTCCAGATATTTTTTATTTAATTGAGCACACTATGATTCCATATTATCAGCTTAACGATGATTCGACTGCAATCTATTGTTGTTAATCTCATCAAAGTAATTATAATATTTCCTATCTTCTTTTATGTTTCCATTGACTTTATTTAATTTTAGAAATCGTTTCCACTGAAAATCAAACTTGAATCACGGAGTAACGATGTCAGGGAACTTACTACTAAGCTACTTTATCCATGAAGTTCCCTTTCTATGCACCTAAGTTATTGTACCATTTAGTAGTTGTTTAGTCACTTTTTGATCAAAATCTACCGACTGGCTATGTGATACGGTCAGTAAGCTTACTGATAACACACTGATGTGTAGTGTAATTCAATACCTCTTGCTTACCGATGCCGACCTATACATAATTATGATAGGACATCATATACGCACACAGATGGACACACAGTTATCACGAAAAGGATACAAAACTGTTTCAAACTTTCCACTATTAAACTTCAGATTTATTCAATTATGTCAGTTCCGTGAATTTTTGGCACTTATTCATTCACTTTCTTGATATTAGATGGCTGAAGACGATCGGCCACAGGAAGCCTTGGACCTAGGTTTCGTGCTGGTTGCCAACCACCAGTCATCAAGGCGTATCTGCAACCTTGAAGGAACTCATGTCCCTTCTGAGATTCTAACCTGCGTCACCCAGTGGTGTAGTCAGAGACGTTACCACTGAGCTATTCAGGCTCGCGACTGACCTCCTGTAGGACTGTATTGGATATTTTTTGATTGCACACTAGTCAGTAACTAGTGTGATGTGTCTAGTCCTTTCTTCGGTGCAGACTGAATTCTGTTAGTCAGGTTTGCAATGTCGCTACCATTCCAGATAGCTCACACTAGTTACTAGTGTTCAATCAAAGTATCCACTGCAGTCCTGACGGAGGTCAGTCGCGAGCCCTAATAGCTCAGTGGTAACGTCTCTAACTGCAGCAGTGGGTGACGCCAACTCGAATCTCAGAAGGGACATGAGTTCCTTCAAGGTTGCAGATATGCCTTGCTGACTGGTGGGTGGTGACTAGCACGGAACCTAGGTCCAAAGCTTCCTGTGGCCGATCGCCTCCAACTATCTGATATCATCAAATCAATGTACATCGTGATGGCGAGTTACCTAGAATGGTGGCCACATTGCAAATCTGACTGATAGAATCAAGTCTGTACCAGAGAAAGGACTAGACACATCACACTAGTTGCTAACTAGTGTCCAATCAAAGTATTCACTTTCATTTCAACAGTGATTTCGTCTGATAATAAAATAAGCTCTTGACTTAATTACAAATCTTTAGGATTAATCCTTTAAATGTAATCTTTATTCAGGTGTTGGTGGTCTTTTATAGTTCGCCCTTTATTCTCACTTAGGTGAAAATTTCAGTTGCAATCAGTTTATTATAATGGAAGTTACTATTATACTTATGATTGCAGCATTCCTGAATAAACAGAAATTTGCTGACACTTTATTCAGATTTTAATGATGGTGTAGAACACCACTACTGTAACTTATTTTTTTTCTTAATATATAAAGTCAACCAGTAGTTACTATAGATATATTTCTCATACTGTTGATGAAAATAGGTCAGGTTTGATATGAATTATTGTCATGTAGGCAAATTTGGTAGTGGGCCATGAGTTAATCTAAACCCTGATTATCTTAGTGAAATTGAATGCTTCATAAACTCAGTGATTATTTGGGTATTTCAAATCAGTAACCTACATTAATCCAGCGAGGTCAGTTAAAAATAATCAAGAGTATCCTCGTTTTTAGGTGTTTTTCGTTGAAAAAAAAGTCAGTTTCTCATATCAGAATGTCTTAACAGTAACTCCCCTGTTCACTTAGGTGCATTATATCAAAATAATAAAAAGACTTTTCCGCATACTTTTGTCTATCATAGTCTGTATTGAGGTGAATGATGAAGGCTCAACTCCTGTAACTTTAAGGCTATGATAAAACATAGTGAAATGAAGTGGTCAGATTTGAAAGAATTCGACAAAATTCATCACAAACAGATAGGGAATGTTATTTTAAAAACAAGATTCACTGGAGAGGCATCTTGTCAGTTTTTTTACCCAACCAACAATCATGATATTATTGGGCGGGGGAGGGGCGGGGTGGTAGGGTTTGTCAGTTTTCAAGACAGTGAAATTACCACTCCACTAATATTTAGTACTTTTATTTTAGTTTTTTTTGTGATTTTCTAGATGAAAAAGGATATTTCTTTCCACCAATGTCCATATAAAAATACTTCTACTCCTAATGAAGGAGTACATTATGTATAATGGATACTGGTTTGTTAAAAAAAAGATACTAGTGAGGCGAAAAGTTATTTCTTGTTAATAAACGGATAACTTGAAAATAAAGTAGTAAACCAAGTGTATTTCCTAATGATAAACAGATAATCAGGTAATATATGCAATTAGTTCTTTGAACATTGCACAGTTCGGGGTAAAATCTCCTCTTACTTTTCCTTGGAGACCTATACAATGTAGACCTACGGATACCATAAACTATTTCAGTAATGTAGGTGAAATCACTAGACAGCAGTTGAAAACTATCATGTCAACAGCTGATGAATCCTAGCCATATCCAAGCTACCTAAACATGTCATCAGCAAGGAAATGATTAAGGTGTCAAAGTAAAGCCAAGAAAATGGAATCATACTGCTTAGTAATCCCAAGTAATATTTTTTTATTGCTTTACGTTCCCAGTGGAATATAGGGCTTCAACCTAGAGGCTTGAAGTTTTTGTAGCATTTGTGATTATTTTTACAGGATAGGGTTGTTAGCCTCATGCCCAACCTTCCCTCTTTACCAGTCTTATTACTGGCTTACTGAGGTAAAGGAGAGCGTCGGCCTGGGATCGAACCCCAGACCACCTGCGCGGTAGGCGAGCGATCTACCGCTTTGCCACTGACGCACAATCAAAAGTAATATTGTAACAACAGAAGACAAGGGCCAGGCAACAGATCGTTTTTTAAGGAAATCAGCGCGTATTTACACATATTTCATGTACATTATTATAGCTTATTCAAGCAGATAAACACAGTCTTCTGATTTTTTGTTTCTTGCTCAAGGTTATTCTGTACTACTTGTGACTAGTTTCTCAGAAAGTTAAGCCATATATTCGCGAATCGTATTTGCCCACGTTAAGTCTGCTGTGATTGGTTGTTGAATCGGTCTTGTTCATATTTTCTCACGGCCAATATTAGCGGCATAGACATTGACGTAAATTAATGCCTACCAATTGGCTAGCAGCCTGCTCTCACCACAATATAACTGATGTTATTTGGTGGATGGTGACTAATAGTGGAAACGTTTGAAACGATGAGTACTGCGTTCGAGTCTCTGTGGGAACACCATTACTCACTGGTACTTTCAGCTACATCCAGATGATGAGTCATAACAGTTGGATTCCACTGCTAGTCCATCATCCACCTAAATAACATCATGTTAGTCCTCAAATATTTTAAAAGCTTCCGTATTAGGAGCCGACAAGTCAACAGAGAACGAAAATTTCGGTCCAATATAATCAATCAACGGAAAGTGTCAAATCAACTTAAACAAATAATATAATTCAATAATGAAATATTTGATGTGATCAACTTATGAGAATTACGACTTTAATCTGTTTTATTTTGTCTTTTAATCTTTCTACTAGTGTTTGGTCATTTGAATCGAAGGAAGAAAAATTACAGATTCACACCACTTCACTTAATTTTAATTGGTCTATTGAGTTTTGTTTTTGGAATTCTGATAGCTGGTATTGGAATAATTATTTATTACTGGGGATATTATAAACGACTTGTGTGTAATAATATCAGTAAGAATAATAACACTGTTAACAGCAAAAGTAGTAAATTACGAGGTGATATAAATGCAGAAAATGATTTCACCAATTTACACTCAGCTCACTTGAATTTATCGCCTCCACCTCAGCCAATTCTCAGCCTACCAATACCGGGTCTAGTTACTTCACCAGCAAATGATAATCAAGTGAATATTGAGCATAAAAGAAGCCACAGTGTTGTCTATGATTCAGTAGCATCTCAAGATGGTGTAACATGTTTGAATCACAGTCAAAAAAGATTATTAAATTTATATCCAGATGAAGCATTTCATAGTCTTCATCATTCTCATAATGATCAGGTGAACAGGTACACCAGGTTAAATTGTTTCTCTGATTCATATCCTCTTGGTGAAACAGTATTCAATGAAGCGCTTAGAGAGAGATCAACAGAAGCTTTACCGAATAATGATGGATTCTGGAGTTTTCCACGTAAAAGTAGACTTATGCCTGAATCAAATCTACTTAAAATGTATGCAGAAAACAATCCAAGTACACATATGCAGTATGATCATAACATGCATAGTTTTCAACCGAATTATCCTCCACATCATCAATTACCACAGTTTTATAGCACAGAGAGAGATTATTTACTCCGCCCAAAACACGCTGGGAATAATAATCGAGTTGAATCGCCAAACAATGTTCTATCAGCATCCTTTTCCGGTTATAGGCCTGTAGGTATTTTCAACCAAAGAAACAATAATGAACACTATTCTCGATCACCTTTATTACTATCACGAAACCATCAACAACAGTATCGGCATACACCACGCAATCTACATACTATATCTGCAATGTCAGAACCATGGTATGCATCAACTACTATTGGTCTACCAAGTAATATCAGTGGTAGTCATCGAATGCTTTTAGATAATAGTACATCTCCTATTGACATGTCGAATATGGATCGCAATGAAGATATGGCTGCCAGTAGAAGTGCTGTATCTGGTTATGAAGACTATGACAATGGTGGAAGTATTCAATTTCCGCCTAAAATGCCTATTCTGTCTGAAAGACATAAGCTATATGATATCAATTCACAGGCTAAATTAATACCGTCGGTGTCTGCATATTCGCATCCTTCACATACCTCTAATATATTTGATGGTGATAATCGGTCGTCAGTTTGGAGTGGAGGTGATTCAATCCCTTTTGAAAGACCGTCTAATCCACATTTAAGGGAGCCGAATACATTTTTCGAACACCTACCGCCTCCATCAGTGCTACCTCCTCCTCATGCTACACCAGTGACTACTTTACCATAAATAACAGTCTCTTGTACAACACTGTGATAAATAAGTATAGGTTTTGTATACATAAATTTATATTATGTCTATGCTTATTATTCATCCGAAAAATTGTCTAGTTTAACCAATAAAACTATAGAATGTTTTTTTTAATTTTCCCCTCGAAACCCTCCTTTTCATATTTCCTATACTTCTTGTTGTTATATCTGCAATAGTGAATATAAAGCTTCATGTTTCCTAAGAAAGGTGTTATTTCCCTTTCTGTATATATAGTTTCGTTGGCAGTCCAGACTGTAAGGATAAAGTCTAAAATCATTTTGTCCTAAGGCTGAATATAATGCCCTTGAAGCAATATGCTTCGTCCTTTTGGTTTAACATGTATACATGTCATAACTATGGAACAAAGTTAAACATAATACAAAAAAGGATGTGGGTATATGTCCAGAGATGCGGTGCAGCTCAGACAACTATGCTGCTGCAATTTATCTTGATAGCATAAAACTGAAGTTATTCTAAGGTAAATAACAATGTTTTAAATACTGATACTGATATGTATGCGACACGCAAGCACTTTTCTAAATGAATGAAAATGCCTATCAATAAAAGATGATGAGTGGTATTGGCAAAAGTATTTCTAACAGACCACTGCTGACTTTAATCAACAGTCGTCTTGGTTGGCTTGATATTGATCAGAGAGCTGGAAAGAATAAGCAATGATAATGAACTCACCGAAAACCTATTGCCCAACGAATATGCAGAAAGAAGTGGTGATGGATTGAATGTACTCAGAGGAAACCCTTAAGTGACATCACGCTCCAGTCCGTTTAGTGGGACTCGAATATGAAGCGATAAGTTGGGCATCAAGGGATGAATTAAAGAAGATCATGTGAGGAGAAAGTGAAAGCTTGTAATCACTTGTGTAGCCAGCTGCAAATGATATCCTACTAAAGCCCTTTTTTAGATGAGAAAAGTAAAGAACGAATAATAGTTGTTATTACCAAAAAGCAGTATAACTATTCTCCTGAATTCATCTATATTTCTTCAAATGATGTAAGTACAACAGTTGTGACATGTCTACTGGGATAGAAACCCATGTAGATAAGGGAATTATTCCAAGATGTTCTGACGTTTGAAAACTTTACCTAGAGGCACATAAAAGAAATAATGCAATAGGTGATTTAGAAAAACATGCGGATAAAAACGAATGACGAACAGAAGTGAACTGGTGGGATGTTGATCAGTTAGAGTATATAACAAAGAAAAGAATTTCCGCACCAACCTTGGATGCACTAACCTTGGATCATACGTTTTATCAGTAACCAGTTTCTTCTAACATACACTGATTGGTCACCAGAGATGCTACAATCCACATCATTATTAAAAATGATCAGCTGTATGCTAATGCACAGCTAGAAAGAACCTCTTCGATGAATCACTTGTTTTAATTTTCACTAGAGAATAGCTAATGTCATCCATCTAGCTCTTAGTCTAGGTACTAACTGAATAATGTTAGTCAAGCCTGCAATGTAATCAGCAAGTTAGGTAACTCGCAGTCATGAAAGAATACCAGTTAATATTAACTGGTTGAGAGCAATCACTAGGAAGCCCTGGAAATAGTTTGGCACTCTTCAGTAAATCCTACACAGTTTAGGGGTAAAGTCTCTCATTAAAGCACTTGGTCACCTGAATTCGAGTCTCTGCAAGGACATTAGCCCCTTCGAGACTGTAGATATGGGCACGCAGAGTAGGTCAAGGGCATCCTACTTATCAACTTCAACTACCTGACATCAGAGAAAGCCAAATAAGGAAAACTGAATGTTTACACGTTGAGTAATAAATTACTGCTGTCAAAATAAACATATCGGCTAGACGTATTATTTCTTTCGTTCAAGAACAACCTACTTATTGTTATTTTAGGTTGGCAAGACCACATGCAGATGTCGTTGGGAGTAAAGATAAAAGATTAGCGTTGAGAAAAATAAATGCCACTGTAACATGTTCCTAGCGAGTCGTGCAACTCAAAATAGATGGAATCCTCCTTGAGAAATAGTCAGGAAGCTCTATCATTTCCAACTCTGGAGGATTACAATAATTCAAACCCTAGATTTGACAAAGCCGCTCACTTTTATGTAAGGTCCCTATGACAACTGAAGCTGAGGGAGAAGTGAGCTGCTCAGACCACATTTTATCAATATTGAGTTTCTAAAATAAGAGAACTAACCTGATTAAAGCAACATAGACTCAAACGAACTTTTTAATGCCAAGTCTTAACATTGAATAGCGACACTTTAGTAAAGACAACACAGTTTTGTTTTCCATTCGTTGGAAAATGCCAAACTTTTTGCTGTAACCACCACTCAAGGTTACTCTCGTATTGTATCTTTAGAACATCATCAATTATTACAGAAGGCAGCCTTATCTTGGCTGCCACTTGTAGACCACTTCAAAGATTACGGTTTCAAACGGTTGATTTGTTTTAACCCACGATTGTAATAAAAACTACTGCTCTGTCAGTATTTACCTCCACATTGGACATGATAGCCACACTATTACTGTAATATCACCCCAAAATAACCAAATTTTAGAGAGTGCTCCGAATTCAGAGTGTGCATCCTCAGCTGTAGACATTTCCTAACGCATCGAATAAGCTTCTCAGCAAACGACTGACGAATATATTAATGAATACCGTCAGCTGCATTACATTACGTGTGTACTATGCCTTGAAGTACTTAGATAACCTATTCTAAAAGCTCAGAAGGCATCTTAACAGACCTAAACTGTCCATACTTAAGGGTTTTATCGGTTGACCAATTCAAGATTAAACCACAGTACTGCATATTCTCCCCACGAAGGCATACTAAAATAATTAAGAAGTGGAATAAAAAGATATGACTGTTAAACCTTTATCAGCATCCTAAAAGGCTAAATAGTTAAATTTTAAGATGGTTGTAGCATGCTACATATCACTGACAGGTGCAAAAAAGACGACTAAGCTGTCGGTAAAAATATACATTATGGCGCAAATAAGTTAACTTTCCATGCAATAACTTGAACATTAACAACATCCAGCATCTGTAATGGCTTCCTAGAAACTAAAACAATGTGCTCATTTATTTTTACATCCATTTTACGAATTCCTGTACGAAAGATAACTTTTTGTAGCACTTATAATTGCAGTTCGCCCATACCACCTTTTCTTACTAGGTGGTCTAAATTATTTATTACTTTATAATTATTTGGAGTTGAATCTGTCATATTCACTAAATGACAGAGGTTGAAGAGACGCAACATATTAGAGTCGCGGATGTTTGCCAAGAGAACACCTACTCTATGTACTAGATAAGTCGATGGATGGAATATTTATTTTTCATGCTGAAACACCACTATTATCGAAACAAAGCATTGGCTAAACTATGATTTGGTTAATACAGCAACGATCTTCGCAGACTTTGAGTGCCAGTTTAACTCATGACTGGGGTTCCAAAAACGTTAGTAATCAGTCACATCATGCTAAGTAATTCACGAAATCCCACGTTTATTTATTCGCAGTTACCAGAATTTTAATCATCCTAATAGGTTTGACCCGACTTTTTTCCCCTCTTCAAATTCAAACGATCTGACATTAGTTAAAAAACCGATGGGGGTCACTACACTATCGTCCAGACACTGTCCTGTAATTCAATAACTTGTAGGACTTCACAAGATTAAAAGAAAGTAGTAATATATTCTGCACTAGTTAAGCTTACAGTAATCACCACACTAAATGTCTTAAAGCTAATTTTGTCACTAATTTAAAATGGTAGAGAGTTTTCGTGAAACTGCATTGACTTTTGCGGGAGCGATTGGTGAGATCCTGTTGACTTTGAAAACTAAACAAAAGCGAACATTTTTTTATTTGGAACTAGTTACTGATATATTTTTGAATTGTGATTAACATAACACATAGATCTTTATAGAATACCAGACTTTATAGGGATAGAATGTATGCTTAAGATGACAGATTGTCCTAAAATCATCCACTATTTACCAATTATTGTGTTAGTGTTACGCAAACAAGTCAAAAGCCTGTCTTGTTATTCTGGACGTTTCGAATCTTTTGAGCCAGATTTTGAGTTTTGAGCTGGTAGTTGGCAGTAAGCTGCTTAGTTTCCTCTAAAGACTGTCGCTTATGTAATACAGAATCATAAGAATCCTCATAATTTAACAGCAACGCATTTTTTCCTAACAGTCCACAAGACCGACGAAGTCGAGCGTTTTCTGCTCTTAGCAGTTCCCTGGTCTGTTTCATTTTTGTCAGTCGATCTCTATTAAGTGTTAGCTCCTCATCAGCTTCATCGAGCTTCTTCTTTTGTTTAGCATTATCGTTTTGAACAGCTTGGAGCTTCTCCTTTATATGAGTCATAATTTGAACAGTGTTCGAAATCTTTCGTCTCAACTTACTTAGTTCTTCATTTCTCTCATCAATTTTCTCATTATATGTTTGATTTTCTATCTTTAACTGCTCAAAATCAATCAAGTGAAGACCCTCTGACAACTCTTCTTTTGATTTTAAAAGCGCTTCTACCTTCAAAACTTCATTTTTTAACTTTATATTTTCCAGTCTTACTTCCCTTACAAGGGCTTCTTTTTTCTTCTCGGCATCAAACACGGCAGAAAGTTCTTTAGGATTAATTGGTTTGCCAGTCTGACTATGAAGTGCCTTCTTTCCTATGTTGTATTTGAAGTTCATAAACTCATTGTATGCTTCGTCAACTTCTTTTTGCTTTCTATCGCACATGTCTCGCAGCTCATCAATTTGTTTACTGTAGGAAATCTTCATTTCTTCGTACCACTGATGAAGATCTACTAAACTCGAAATATATCTGGTGTACCTTTGCTCATAGTCTACACCAGTATCCACTACGCTGCCACCACTGGTTGTTGTTATACTCTGCTGATCAGAAGCATCAGCTTTCTTGCGCCTAAAATATTCAGCGAGTTTAGTCTGAAGTTGAAGGTTCAGCTCCCTAGCAGCCTTCAGCTCATTTACGGATTGCGTATACTGCTCCATCAACTCCTCACGCTTTTTCAGTTCCACTCCAGTCTTAAGTTCATCATCTTCATAATCTCTCAATTCACTGATATCTTTAGAGGATAAATGAGGCCCAAGATTCCAGTCTTCTTCAGGCTTAGAAATTTCTGAAATATGTGATTCGCCTCTATCTTCAGAAACCTCTCCCACAAACATTTCAACTTGTG